AACAACAAAAAAAAAAAACCCTAGCACTTTATTACCTAGAGTTCCAAGCCAGCACGTGTTTTGCAAAAGAAAAAAAAAAATTTCAAAAACACAATAATAAATATCTTTTCAACTTCAATCCGCTTTTGATCTTGAGGGTGAAAGTTCATCCATACTACATTGCCTCCCATACTCAAAAATGACAGAAAGAAGATATCGACAATTTCTTGAGGAAGATACAGTTCAAATACCAATTCCTTGCTACAGGGAAATTACTTTTGAGAGTGACTTTGAAATGCAATGGTTTGCAGCCAGGCATGATGATGCAGGCCTATAATCCCAGCACTTCGTAGGCTGAGGCAAGAGGATCACCACCTGCGGCCTGCCGAACTACACAAGGGAGAGCCTGTCTCTGCCCGCCACCCCAAGAAAAAAGCAAAGCATAGGTTTGCTTAAAGAAAAAGGTGTATTGAAAACAAAACACAGGCAGCACCCTGCTCCCCTTCAGGGTCTGCATGACCACCACCACGCCAATCCATGCTGCCAAGAGGATCTACCGGGGGCCGGGATGCCCTCGCGGAGGTAGATGAAGCATGTACACGCACACGGCGGCCCACAAGCCCTGAGCAGATGAACAAAACACGGGGTGTGCATAAAGCGAGCTACTGCTAGGCAACCCTTAAAGGCAAAAAACTAGACCTCCAAAGCTTATTATTACATGAAAGTATAAAGTGCTAAAATGATAGTTATACCATTCATTTCAGATAAAAACATATAAAGCAATACCATACAGCTGATGTGAAAGCTTCAATAGTGAATGGGATTTAAAACATACACGCACACACACATTTAAGGGTACATTCAAAACAAGCTTCGGCATTACCCATAACGATTGAATACAGAACGGGAAACACGTTTCATTTCAAAAAGGAGAACCTCTCCTAAGCGGGCTCTAAATCCTCGGCGCGCAGGCGTTCGCGCAGCAGGGAGGCGCGCCGGAAGGACCGGCGCCCGGTGCAGACGTTCACTGGGGGAGGGCGCCCGCTAAGGCCGCGCCACACTTACAGGTTGATGGTGCGCTCCAAGGTGAGGGGCTTGGTCTGCTGGATGTACTTGTTGCCGAACTGGTTGACTCCCCGCGGCCAGCCCGTCTGCGAGCGATTGGGCGGCACCACAGACATGCTGGCGAGTTTGGACCCTGGAAGCGAGCAGAAAGCCGGAGGCAGGGGAGACTTTCCCCGTTCGCGCAGCGGTTATCTGCGACCCGCTCAGCAATTGCCGCCCGCCATTAACAAAAAAGCGCTAGAGGAGCCCTACGTACGCCGGAAGTGAATCTGGACTCTCCGGCAGCAGGAAGTAGGGAGGCGGAGGCTTTCTAGTGGAACACCTTTAGACCAATCGCTGGTGGTAGAACCTTAGTATCTGACACTCCCATTGGTAAGCTGGTAGAGGTTCCGCCTCCTCGTAGTTTGCTGCCTTTTATTGGGTGACACTAGGGAAGACGAGATAGGCGGCATTCTGGGAACGGTAGTTTCCCAGGGGAGCATAGCCTCTCGATTGGCGTGGCGTGGTTCTATACCTTGAGATATGAATGGGAAGCGGCCCGCGGAGCCTGGCCCGGCTAGAGTGGGCAAGAGAGGAAAGAAGGAGGTGATGGCGGAGTTTTCGGACGCTGTCAGGGAGAAAACCTTGAGAAAGCAAGTAGCCGAGGCCTGGATTCACGGGACGCCGTTCAGTCATGGTAACCGGGTGCTGTGCGGGAGGAACGTTGCGCAGGGACGTGAACGGCCCCCAAGAGCCCCCGGACGCGAGCCCAGCCCTGGGCGGCGGGGCCGCAGGGGAGATGCGCGGAGGCTTTGCCGCCTCCCACCCCTCTGCCGCGCCTTTCCTTCACATTAGGTTTGAATTGGAAAATCTGGAAGAAAAAGTGCAGGCCATCGAGTATCGGGAAGTTGAGGGCATAAAAATTACCCTTTGAACCCTGTAATCGGAGGTCCCTGAGTTAAAATCTTCACCGATTGTGTATCGTTGGCAATGATTTTTAACTTTAGGATAATTAATGGTATTTCCCTCAGAAAGCTGTTGGATGGGATTAACAGGCTCATGCATGTGGGCGTCAAGGAACGCTTCTCTGAATCAGGAAAAGTAAACATTTAGACAGATATTTGAGAGCCTCAGGTGATTTTTCCGCGAGGCTAATGCTCGGTTGTCCCATGATGATTTAGCCAGAGCTTTTGTTGTGAGCTGCCATAGGGCAAGCGCTTGAACTTACTCGTTTTGACGTACCTGTAGCTCCACTGCATGACTCAACGCGTGGTGACCTAGGTAAGGAACGCTTGTCAGAGGATTCCCCGCCTCAGCTTCCAGTTATCACCTTATAGGATAAGAACTCTGCTCGATGTGTTATGCATTTCCTTCCAAAGTTCACGCCCTTTTTTCCCCCAGTTGTTAAGTGCCTTTGAAGAGCCAAATTCTGGATGCTCTGGATGCAGAGCTTAGTGTTTAAAGTGCAAGCTCTGAACACTCCAAGACTTAATTTCCTCATCTGTAAGATGGGGACAGAATATGGTAATACCTACCCCAGAATTGTCCAGATGTCTAAATAAGATGTAAAGTACCACTAAGCCAGCCATCTGATTGTGTTAGAGAAATAGTAGTCTAACCTGCAAGAGGTAATGGATACAATGTTGGAATAAATCGAGGAATTAGAAGGTCTTATGCCGACCATAACTTGGAAAAAGAAAAAGTAGATTGAAGAGAAATTGCCAGCCAGTATTGTTACTCTCTTTTAATTTGTTCTTATTTTAGGGGGGGTGAATTAAGAATCTAATATACATTTAGTTCAATAATGATTACACTGAAAAACTAAGAAGAACAAGAATTTTTATTTTTTTTTTTTTCTTGTCTTTTTGAGACAGGGTCTCGCTATGCAGTTCAGGCCGACATTGAGCTCACTTTGTAGGCCAGGCTGGTCTTGAACTCACAACGATCCTCCTCCCTCAGCCTCCTGAGTGCTGGGATTACAGGCATGTGCCACCACGCCCAGCTATTTACTTTTTTTGTTTTGTTTTTTGAGGTAAGGTCTTGCTGTGTAGTGAAGGCTGGCCTTGAACTCAATTACATAGCCCAAACTGGCCTTGAACTCAATTATGTAGCCCAGACTGGCCTCAAACTCATGGTGATCCTCCTGCCTCAGCCACCTGAGTGCAGGGATTACAGGCATGCCCCACAACCCCCAGCTAAGAACTTTGATTTAGTAACATCATCTTTACTCATTTTAAAAACTAGTGTTTTAGGGCCCAGGATATAGCTCACAGCACCGCACCTGCTTGGCAGACGCAAGGGCCTGAGTTCCATTTCCAGTACTGCCCCCTCAAAAAAAACCTAGTATTTTAAGCACACTGAATCTGAAAGGTAGCATGGTAAGTAAAGAAAGAGCAGAACTTATAATTCTTGTCCAAATCTTAGACTTTGGGTATTAAGTTCTCAAAATTCAGTACCATCTCCTTTTATGTTCTCTCTGCTGTTACTTGGTGGTCAAAAATACAAAAGGGCAGAGAGCCATAGATAATGTTTTCCTTCCAACAGAAGCCATTGTCATGGACATGGACCCATTTCTTCACTGCGTGATCCCAAACTTCATCCAAAGCCAAGACTTCTTGGAAGGGCTTCACAAGGAACTTCTGAACTTGGACTTCCATGAGAAGTATAATGATTTATATAAGTTTCAGCAGGTATTTATTCCTCTGTCATTCTAGTTTTTCTACCTCAGAAAAATTTTTTTAAATTTTATTTTAAAGAGGAAAAGAAATTCAAAATAAGATAATAGGAGACTAACAATGGTTAATACACTGAGGATTGTTATCTTAAAATTAGTTACTTAGAGTACAAGATTTAGGCATTTAATTATCCAAACAATATTAGCACAAACCTTTCTTTTCAATGAACTAAGAAAAAGTAGTATAACTATGTTAATATCTTGTATATATATATATATATGTATTTTTTTTCTCTTCCCTGCTAGTCTGCTTTCCCCCATCCCCGTTTCTCTTTCCTTTTAAACAGTTTTGTCATCCTATAATATCTATTGTATATTTTGGATCTTACTTACTCTTTTAGCTTTCATACTAGGGAGACAAAACGATGTTTACAGATGTGAGTTTGATTTATTTCACTTATGAGTATAGTCTCAAGTTGCATCCATTTACCTATAAAAGTCTCAAGTTTATCCTTATTTATGGTTGAGTAATACTCCATTGTACAAAAAGACCACATCATTTTTATCCATTCCTCAATAGATGGGCATTTGTGTTGTTTCCAAGATCTAGCTATGCCAAATTGTGCTGCTATAAACACAGGTGCATTATATTGCTATGGTATGGTGTTTTTAATTATTCTGGGAAGATACTCAGGAGGAGAATAGCTGGATCAAATTGGGACTTCTAATCCTAGTTTTTTGACTAGGAATCTCCACACTGATTTCCACAATGGTTGCATCAGTCTACACTCTCACCAGCAGTGGAGAACAGTTCCTTTTCCCTGCAGCCCCTCCACCATTTGTTATTGGTTGATTTCTTGATAACAGCCATTCTTTCTGGGGTGAGATGGAATCTCAATGTTGTTTTAATTTGCATCTCTCAAATAACCAGTGATGTTGAACATTTTTTCATATATTTATTTGCTGTGTGTATTTCTTCATCTGAGAAGTGTGTATTCATCTTAGATGCCCATTTTTGGATTGGGTCTTCAAATTTGGGAGGTCTGATTTTTTTGAGTTCTTTGTATGTTCTCAGTGGTAATCCTTTATCTGGGGAACAGCTAGCAAACATTTTTTCCACATTGTGGGTTGTCTCTTCACTCTTTTGGTGGTTTCTCTTGCCATGCAGAAGCTGTTTAATAAGATGAGTTCCCAGCTGTTCATTCTTTGTGATAGTTCCTATGTGATCAGGGTTTTATTCACAAAGTCTTTTCCTATACCAGTGTCTTCAGGTTTTACATATTCTATCTTCCAGCAGATTTAATATTTCTGTTTTAATAGTTAGATCTTTGATCCATTTCAAATTTAGTTTAATGCACAGTGAAAGAATTTGGGCATATTGCTTCCCTTTCAGTTTCATTAAAGTGTTTCAGAGTAGTGATATTAAGTCTTCTCTAAATTTCTTGTAGAATTCAGCAGTGAATCCTTCAGGGCCTGGGCTTTTCTTTGGTAGTAGGTGTTTAATTACACCTTTCGATTTCATTGATTGATACTAGTTTATTTAGAATTAGATTGCACATGCCAAAGATTATAACGGATATGTATTAACTTATCCTTCTCATGTTATTTTCCTGTTGTTGGCCTCCCCACTGCACATTTAGCTGTTTGCCTTACCTGGTGAATTCCTTTGGTTGGGGACTATGCAGTTGTAGTCCTTGTTATCTCTTTCTAGAATGTCCTTCAAAGCGTTTTGGAGTGTTGGTTTCATGATCATAAATTTCCTCAGATGTTTTTTGTCATGGAAGCATCTTATTTCTCCCATCAGTTTTGAAAGATAGTTTTGTGTGGTACATCAATCAGGGTTGAAGATTGTTTTCCTTTAGAGCTTAAAATACTTTGCTCCAAGCTCTCCTTGACTTGAGGGCTTGTGCTGAAAAGTCAGCTGTGATTCTGATGGGCTTTCCTTTATATGTGATTTGTTTCTTTTCCCTAACAGCTTTTAAGATGCTTTTCTTGTATTGAATTTCTGGAATCTTGACTATGATATGACTGGCTGCAGACTTTTTTGATTGTTGCTAATTGGAGTTCTATATGTCTCACTTAAGTGTATCTCAAATTCTTTTTCCATACTAGGGAAGTTTTCTGCCATGACATCTGTGAACTGTTTTTTTTATATCATTTGTGCTACCTCCTGCTTTTTCATTGACTCCAGTCAGTCTTAAGTTACTCTTCTTTGCCTCATCTAACAGCTGCTGTATTGATTTTTCATGGTCCCTTGCTATTTTTAAGAAATCTTTCTTTTCAGGATGGCTAACTGCAAGCCTGTCTTCTATATGTGAGATCCTATACTTGCATTGGCTTTTTCTACTGTGGATACTTTCAGTGGAATTTTTATTCTCCTGGATATGTGCTTGAATCTGCATTATGGATTCCCTTCCTTTCCTATGCTGAGCATTCATGGCTTCCATAATTTTCTTAAGCTCATCTTCTTTTCTTTAATCTATATCTGCTTAGAGTACTAAGCTTAGTTTTCATTATGAATACCATCTCTGCAGTTATCTGAGAAATTATTTCCAATTTGATTTTTTTTCTAGAACCTCATTCAATTGCTTTGTGTTACCACTTCAGAGAGGCCAGGTGGGTGGCTTTCAGATTGTCCCCTGGGTTTCCATTTGGTTAACTAGATGTCTGGGGTTGAATCTTGTTTAAGTGTCTTCTTATTTTTGTTTCTTTCCTTTCTTTTTTTTTTTTTTTTTTTAGTTTCATTCCTGGGGTGATGCTTATAAATTGCTATGGTGGGTTGCTTTATTGCTAGTATTTAGAACCCTTAGGAAATGACTACTTTTCTGTGGTATCTTACAGGTGTAGCTGGTTTTTGGGTTTTGAGTCTATTGTAAGACCCTACCTCTTCAGTTTGTTTGGGATGAGAAGTTGCTGGCTATTTGGCCCAGCCCCTGGTTCTTTGGCACTGTTCCCCAGTATTTTCTATGACCGTTAGTCAATCTCAGTCTTGGAATACCAGAAAAAATACCTGTTTAGAACAAGTATGTCACTTTTGGCTAAGGTGGTACCATCAGCAATAACAATGGCACTAAACACAGCCTAGAAAATGACAAACTGAGGTAATCATTAATTTGCCACCTTTAACTGTATGAACTAGATTTGTGGTTATATGAAAAAATCTAAAACCAGAAAATTATATACAGTATATAAGTCCTTAATATGTCAATGTTGCCCTCAAGGGTTAAAATTTAAAAGGGGTTAGAGAGAAAATAGAGAAGTAGAAGAAGAGGAAGAGATTAGAAGTAAGGTTCAGGGACAAAGGGGGATCTTGCTGACTTGGGAAACTAATGCAGGAGACCACAAAAAGATAAAAAGAAGAACAGAACAGAATAAGAACCACAAAGAGGATAAAAACCATGTTCATTCTCATAAAAACAAGATCAAACAGTGAAGGAGAAAAGAAAAAACAAAACAAAACCAAAAGCACAACAACAAAAAAACGAGAGAGAGAGAGAAGTTCACGTTCACATTTGTCTCTGCTGTCACTGGTACACAACATGTGGAGACAGAGTCCAGATCCATGTTGATTTATTCCAGGAAGCTACCAGTAGCTTTTTGGTGGGGCAGTGGATAATCTCAGCGAGCCTGCACCTTTTAGTGAAGACCAGACTCATTTCACTGGTAGCTGTCAGTGCATCTTCACCGGGTCTGAGCCCACCTGGGAGCCACTACATGGAGCCAGCAGCCAACCTGAGTTATGTGCGTGGCCAGCCCCGCTCCAAGATAGCTCCCAGCCAATCACTCTCACTTGTGGAATGACTGAGCCCTCAGCATTCACCACCAGCTAATGCAGTCCTTCACATCCATTGCTGCCCTCCACTGCCATATCTGTCTGTGGAGGCCTCTGGGATTGCCAGCAGACACTATGTGTCCACAGGTTTGAATCTCCTCTCGCACAGTGAGTCCTGTCTCAGGGAGAAGGTGCTGCCACCTACCTTCTTCTTCGTTGAAGTTTGTTTCTTTACTCTCTCATGGGCTTCAATTCACACTTCAGATCCTTCCTGGGCCCAGGAAACCCACTTCCTTCCTTCTTCCTCACGTTGGTATATTCCAGCATCTGGACAGCACCTCTCAGAGAGGCTCTTTCTCTGCTGCTTGCCACTCCACCATCTTGGTGCTCCTAGAAACTTATTTATCTATAAAATTATTCAATACCTTTAAGACTTGAGATTTTACAAAACAAGTGGATATTGCCCTAAGAAAAGATTGCTATGGGTATCTTAATTTTCTAATTTGATATTTTAAAAAATCATCTGTATAAGATGATTTTAATCATCTTTAATCATTGGCAATGAAAGTTAGATGATCCATTGCAGTCTTATGCAGCAATATAAAAATTATATGCAGACAGTAAGACTCATACTTCTACTTGTTAATTGAGCATTTCACTATGAAATGCCCAAGTCTAGGAGAACAAGGAAAGCAGAGAAGAGCTGGAATTGATTGCACAGCTGTTTCTCAACAAGCACATGTCATTAATAGAAAAGCAGTCCAGGCCTTCTCCCACAGTCACCTGCGTGTACAAACCCCACTTCCGTGCATAGCCATACAATAACTGCACAGGTGCTGGACAGATTCTAACTACATTCTAGATCATGTTTTGAATTTACTGATGGTCAGGGAGATCAAATATGAACAGTATTGATATGTGACATACACATCTTTGTTATTCTATAATAAAAAATCAAATTCAAAAATTTGAAAGAAAAAAAAGATGAAGTTTTAGATTGGATTTGCCATGGAATGGATCTCACCTTGATCTTCTAAAAAGCACGACTTCATTTAACAAGAGGTACACTGAGTGTTAACTGTGTGTTAGGTGCTTTAATTATTATAAGTGATTTTGACAGTTCCTGCTCTCTGACTTTTAAAAATCTAAAATAATAGGGGTGATATTGATGGTGACAAAGTTAAGTCAAGAAACACATTAAACCAGTAAGTATGCTACAAAGGAATGAAATAGGTTTTGAAAGAATGAAGAAGCTCATACATTGGAAGATTGTAACCATTTAAAGTTTTGAGTTCATGTCTTTAAGTGACTTGCTGTGTTGCAGTGTGTTTTGAATTGTAATGTATCCATCAGAGTTAAATCCGTTCTTTTTTTGGTGGACAATTTAATGTAGCTAAACAGCCTATCTTGTAATCAGGGCTAATTTTTCTACTCTTGGAAGATACAGCCCAGTCTCTAAAAATATAACTCACTGATTTCTCCAGTTTGGAGCTATCTTTTGGTACATGACATACATCAGTCTTGGAAAAATCCTTTAGAAATAAGGATTTTTTAGAAAAGTCTCAGTGACATCAGAGCTTAAAATTTCAGTATATAAAAATGAAGAATTATTTTGTTTTCGTTTCATTTTCCTTTTATCTGGGATAAGAGGATATCTGATACATTTCTCTTTTTCATTATTGATCATGTGGCCATCTGGCATTATCCTGCCCTACAATCTTGTCTTTGGACCTCAAGCAGACGATAGAATTAACCAGGCTAAATGCATGAATGATGAGACTTAATTCAGAAAATCGAATGACAATTAAACTTTAATTCATAGTCAGGTTGCTCAAGTTAATGAAAATCCACAGTTGTCTGCCTTTATAAGTATGTCCACTTTGATAACACTAGACCTCTTATTGATTTAGAGAGATATGCATCTCTGATTATTAAATTGAGATATCAGAGTGGTTTTTTTACTTGATGCAGTTTGACAAATGAAAGTATTTCATTGATTAAAATCAGTGAGAGGAAGAAGAATAAAAAGGGCCTTGGATAAAAGATGAGGCTGTTACTTTAAACCCACGTGGGCTCTGCTGTGAATAGTTTTTGTCCTGCTCACTGTTAGACAGGATCTCTCCACCCTAAGACAGTAGGTATAAAACCTCTTCTCAGTTTTCTGCCCCTTCAGACCTTACCTATATCCCCTTTCTTTGCTTTGGTATGAACTGAATAGTTGGGTCTCTGATATCTTCTGGCTGCCCTAACCAGGTAAACATTGTTGAGTATATACTATGCCATTCTAAAGAGCTTTATATTTATTCATTAAATCCTTATGGCAATCCCATGCAGGAAGTGCAATCATATTTCTGTTTTATTGACGGGGAAACTACGTCCGTTGTATTTTGGTTTTTTTATTTGTTTGTTTTCCTGGATCATTTCCTTAAATATACCAAAAACCAAAAGAAAAAACTGTTCTTTTCATCAGAAGGCAAAAAATGCCCTTGACCTAACTTTTTCCTTCAGCTTCCATCCTGTCCCTCTGTTTAATTCCCTCAACAGCAGCACGCCTTTTAAGAGTTGTCTGCTACTGCAAATTCCTCTCCTCTCTTTTCTCTGGTAAGCCCGCTATTATCAGGCTTTCACCTCTATCATTCCACTGAAGCTGTACTTGTCAAAATCACTCATAACCTCCACATTAATAGAACCATATTAGCCAGCAGTTTTCAGTCCATAACTTTCGAGCAGCATTTGACCTACTGTATCCTTCCCAGAGACAAATGTTTGTTTTCCTTTCAGAATACTATGGTCACTTGTTTTCCTTTCTACCTCATAGACCATTCCTTCTTAGTTTTCTTTGCTAGATCTTCCCCATATAACTGACTCCTGAATGACAAGAGTACTCTAGGGCTTAATCTTATGACTAAAATGTACACAGATTCCCATGGAGCCTCATGGCTTTGTGTCCTCTTGAATGTCCAGCATGAGTCTCACACCTAAGTCCAAAACTGACCTCCTGATCTCCTAATCTGTTCCACTTCCCCATGTCAGCTACTGGCAACTTTGCCATAGCTTAAGCCAAAAATGAGTCATCTTTGACTCCTCTTTCACCTCTCATATCCCTTCCATTGAGGAAATATTTGTCTCTGCCTTCAAAGTATGTCTGAGGGCGGGGATTTTAAAAAAACCTTACCACTTCCACTGCCAACAGTCAGCACCTGGTTCAGGCTGTTTGTCTCTCACCAGAATTAGTCTATCACTGTTAACCAATCTGGTCTGTTCACTTGCTTATACAGTAGCAGCCATTGTGTTAGTTTAAAATGTAAACAAACCCAAGAGAATTAAAAACACATGCTCGTATAAAAACTTGCCCACCGAATTTTTTTTTTTAAAGGAACTGATTCACAAATGTGCATAACATTTATAATAACCAAAAAGTAGAAAGAACCCAAATATCCCATCAGCTGATGAATTCATAAACACAATGTGGTATACCCATACAAGGGAGTCCTACTTGGCTATAGAAAGGAATCTGCTGCTGCAAGATGGATAAAATTTGAAAAAAATTTTACTAAGTAAAAGAAACTAGGCTACATATTATATGATTTCATTTATATATAACATCCAAAATAGGAAAATATATCTATATAGACGGCAGTTTACAGGTTACCAGAAGCTGAGCAATAACTTCTGATGGGTGCAGGATTTCATTTTGGAGTGTTAAGGATTTTTGTGGGGTTCTTTTGTTTTTTATTTTTATTTTTTTTTTCTTTTTGAGATAGAGTCTCGCTATGCAGTTTAATGCAGTTTATGCAGCTCACTTTGTAGCCCAGGCTGGTCCCAAACTCACAATGATCCTCATGCCTCAGGCTCCGGAGTGCTGGGATTACAGGCGTGCGCCACCACGCCCAGCCAAGATTTTTGGATTTAATGTTTGTAGACTTAGCTGTGCAGTCCCCCTGTGTGTCTGGAATAGGCTTTGCTTTACCTCACTGAAGTCGGCCCCTGATCCTCCTCTATAATCACAAACCACCCCCACACTCTCAGCACTCCCTCACTCCTCTTTCCCTGCAGGTTTTTTCCTTTACACCTAGCACCTTTATGCCAGTGATCTACTTTTATGTGTATTATTTCCCTCAACAAACATAAAATTCTCTATAATAAGTAGAGTATTTTCTCAGTGAGTAAGATACACAAAGACCAAGTAACTGGCCCAAGTCATATCTGCCAGATGGAAAGGCCATGTATCAAAGCTAGGAAGTGTGACTTCAGAGTCCAGTCTCTTACCCATTGTGCTTTGCTGCCAGAGCCTTCACTAGATTATTCTGCTCTTTGTGCCTAATATATAATAAAGAAATCCATGTTTTCTTTCTTTCATGATCAAGTCTGATGATTTAAAGAAGAGAAGAGAGCCTCATATCTCAGCTTTACGGTAAGCAAATAATTTGTTGGGTGTCAAATATGTGTTAGGTATAGTAGTAAATACTTCGAATGTATCTCACGTAGTGTTTGCTGATGTTATTATCCCATTCTGTACAGGAAGAAACAGACTGAGAAATTAACTAGCTTCTTCCAAGACTACCCAGCTAAAATTGAGGGAGCTTGGATATAAATCCAAGTTTGTCTGATTTTAAGGCCCAAATTCTTTTTTTTTTTTTGCCTTTTTGAGACAGAGTCTCACTATGCAGTTCAGGCTGGCCTTGAGTTTACTTTGTAGCCCAGGCTGGTCTCGAACTCGCAACGATCCTCCTGTTAGGGCCCAGATTCTTAAACGATAAAATGTTTGGCTTTGTTAGTGATCAAGGAAACACAAAGGAACAATGGAGATACCATTTGTCACACTGCTAGGTAGGGAAATATTGGAGGAAAAAAACAGTATAAAATTCCTTTATACTGTACACTGCTGCAGCCTTTTATAGAGGATGGTTTGGAAAGATGTGTCAGGATCCTTAAAAGTATGTGTATCTTTTTTAGAAAATAATTCTACTTACAAAAACTTATCTTAACAAAATAATTAATGATATCCTCAAAGATTCCATGAGATTGTTGTAATGTTCATATGGACCAAAATTATATACAAATTTAGATGGCCACCTATGGAGATATATATATAGATAATGGTATAAAACATAAAGTGGAAACTATATAGCCATTAAAAATGCATGAATTTAAATCTTGAATTTGGTAGTTATATTCTTCTTTCATTAATTCAAAGATACTGGTTCTTTTTTTTACATTTCAGTATCTGTGTGAGCCAGTGTCTCACACAGTCACTGTTTTGTCCTAACTTAATTGATAGCATTTTGTTCTTAGGCACACACAAAGTAATAACTTTTACAATCAAAGCCTTCTTAAATCATTGAAATACACTTTTATTGAGAAAAAAGTTAAGATAGTTGACCCACATGATATGTTCCTAGTTAAGAACATGTCACATAACACATTAAGAAATTAGATGTAGTTCATGCTACTAGTAAAGAATTAAATTAGTTAAGAACATATCTAAACATTAAACTAGTTAAGAACATATCACATAACACATTAAGAAATTAGATGTAGTTCATGCTACTAGTAAAGAATTAAATTAGTTAAGAAAAAAGATGCACATATATTGGGCTATCTATGTACGTAGTAAAATACTTGGAACATGGAATGTTTGACTAGTAGGATTACAGGTTTGTTTGTTTTTTCTAAGAGTTTCTTTTTACATCTGTTGGATTTTTTTTTCCCAGTTTTTCAATGATAAACACATGTTGCTCTATAATAGCTGTTTTTCATCTATTTTATAGGAGTTGGTTTTTGTTTTTAGATTCTTTTTTAACTCTGAGATTTTTTTTTTTTTTTTTTTTTTTTTTTTTTTTTTGGTTTTTCTGCGGTACCAGGAACCGAACTCACGACCTTGCACTTGCCAGGCAGGCGCTTTTGCCGCTGAGCTAAATCCCCAGCCCCAACTCTGAGATTTTAATATGTGCTGGAAGCCCACACAGGTTGTTATTTCTTCTATATCCTGAAGTATTGCTTATATGTTGATTGTAACACATAATATTTCAAATTTATTTAGACTTTTTTCCCATCAAAGAGAGGCAGTCTCACTTTAAGGCATTATCTTTTTAGTTCACAGCAGCCTCTGATAATCATTTCATCTGGGACCGAGTTACATTCCATATCCACAGGCTCACAGCCAGATAAGTGTGCTAGCCAGAATTCCTTGGTCACTACAGAAAGCCAGTCTTTGTGTTTTTATCTCCCATTTGGGTTCCCATGAGAATTCTCTCATGAATGAAATTAAAAAGTGGTAATGATGTCAGAAAATAAGCCTGTTCCTGGCACATTCATAGTAAGGATAGAAGACTCTTTTATAGAATAAATTTTGGGGGTTTATGCTACTAGTAAAAGGGTTTGATGGTATTAGTTGCTTAAAATACAAACACTTTGCAGAAATGTTTTATCACCTACATTGTCTGGAACAGCCTGCTATCTTGGTCCATTCTAAGTAACTTTTTTCTTTTTTTTTCTTTTTGGTACTGGGAATCAATTCAGGACCTTGTGCTTGCCAGGCAGGCACTATGCCGTTGAGCTATGTCCCTGGCCCCATTCTAAATAACTTGTAGCTCTGCCTTTAAAAGTTACAGAACATTTCTGGTTGCACTAACCAAGCATAGTATTTTATGGTATATTTTGAGTGGTATATCAAAAAGTGTTTGATAATGAAACCTTACAGATCTATGTGGAGAGCTAATACTTAGTTATGAACACCAAAGTTGCATTTTGGGGGAATTTCAGTTATATATTTTTGGACCAGGATGATCAAAAAATACTAATCAAATATCTTTATGTACATGATTTAAATTAATATAAATCCTTTAAAATTTTTATAATTCCTGAAAGTTAACTTAATTTCAAAGTTCTTTGGCTGAGTGAGCTATGAATTGTGTTAAAGAGATTTCTACACAGAGAGTCAGTTTAGCTAGTAAATGGAAATGTTCACCATCTTTTTCTTGGTATCTCATTAGCACCAGAACTTCTGTGAAGGATTTTACTGATCACTGTGTAGTTTGGTACTCATTGTTTCTGCAGTTTAGTCTTTGTGACCTTCGGCAACAGTATCACCTAAGTGTTCCTTGAATGGTGGCACTAAGTGAGTGCTTCTGATATTGCAGTTTATAATAGGAAATATGTTTGGTCTTAGTCCTCATTCCTGGCACCAAGCTCTTAAAACCTTGGGAACATAAGATCAGTAAAGGTAAATGAAGCATCTTTTGTTAAAACAAACCCTTTTTGACTCCACCTGAGTTTATATTAATGAGATGATTTTGGAAAGCCCTAAAGATTTGAGATGTGGGGCTGGTATCCAGGGATGCTAACCATATGATTAGAGGGTTAGAACATTCAGCCCCACTACTACAATCTTTGAAGGAAGAGAGGTACTGGCAGTTGATAGGGCTAATCACCAATGGTAGTGAGTGGTTTGTTTTAATCAGTCGTGCCTGCATAATGAAGCCTCCATAAAAATCCCTAACCAAGAGGGATTAAGTTTGCTGAAAACTAGGAGTTCCTGGGGATGATAGTATGCCGTTACCCATTACTTTGCCCATGAATCTCTTGCTTTTGGGTGTTGAATGTAGAATGTAAACTGTCCAGCAAATGACCAAACTTGAGGAGGGCTCTGTGGGAAACTCTGATATGTAGTCAGTCAGTTAGAAGCATTGGTCATAACCTGGACCTGAGATTGCTCTCTGAAGATGAGGGGCAGTCCTAATGGACTGAAGCCTTCCATGCTGACCTTTTGCAGAGAGTGTCAGAATTGAATTGAATTCTAAGATAACCAGTTGGCAGCCAGGTATGGTGGCTTATGCCTGTAATCCCAGTACTCAAGAAGCTGAGGCAGGAGGATTACCTTGGGTTCAAGGCCAGCCTGGGCTATATATATAACCAGTTGGCTTCAGAGCAGTCAGTCAGTCTGGGAAAAAAACGCATATTTGGTTTAAAAAAAAACAGTTGCGTTTTCCATTTTCCTGCTCAAAAACATGTCTGGAAAATCAGTAATTTGGAATGCAGCAACGGTATGATAAGTTGTTATGACAAAAGCCAAAGTGCTTCTGTGGTAAGACATACTTTAAATTTAGAAGGAAGAAAATGAAATAAATGAGCCTTGAGAGCAAAAATATGCTACAGTGGCTAGAGATTTACATTTACTGACCTTAAACTATGCAAGTTAAAAGTGTGAAACATTTCTCAGGACCTTTTGAGTTAAATCTGAGAATGGCTCTCTTCAACAAAATGTGACCTCCAGGAAAATAGCTGTGGCACAGATCCAGAGAGAGCCCACACTATGGCATAACAAGTCATCTTTTGTTTACACTTCTAGGAAACTTCTGTTTGAAGATTTCCGGGCCTGGCTTTCTGACATTTCGAACATTGACCTGGAACCAACCATTGACATGTCCTGTGCTAAGTATGAATTCACTGGTAAGGAAGACAAAGTTGTCCGTAAGAGTTAGAGGCTTTAACTCCATAATAATGGAAATGTAGCATCTAAGTACCAAAAAACTAGCCTAAGTGTTCCTTCATGGTTAAAGTCCAGCCCATATACTTTGCCACCTTCTTGGAAGAGATAAGGCACTAATTCTCTTTGGGAATATGATGAAAGCTATTGACCCTATTTTGAGAAAAATGCTCATAATGCGCATACATGCCAACCTTGCATACAAAGTCAGGAAATTCAAAGGTAATAAATTCTGTTCATGGACTTCCTAAGAAACAACCATCTCACTGCCATTTTTCTTTTCTATTTTGAAAGTCGTAAGTGAATATATGCTTAAAGGAACAAGTTCAAGCACTGTAGAAGTATTCTGTGTTAATGCCGGTTGCCTCTCTGCCCCTTTTTTCCTCCTTGGTATCCATTATCACCAGTTGGGTGTACATCCTTCTAGTTCCTTTCAGAAGATATAATTATACTTATATCCTTATAATTACGTACAAGTTTGGGAAGTTTGTTTTTGTTTTTGTTTTTTATTAAATAAAACTGTGGCTGAATGTGGTGGCACACACCTGTAATCTCAGTACTCTGGAGGCTAAGGCAGTGCTGTGAGTTCACGGCCACCCCAGACTACATAATGAACTATGGCCTGAACTACGTGGTGAGATCCTGTCTCAATCTATCAATCAATCCATACAAATAGATCAAATTTTGATTTTATTAAATACAAATGATATATATATATATCATTCTGAGAAAATTTAAATTGGTAACAGCTTTTGTGGGGATAACTGAGTGCATATGAAAAGCCATGTTATATATCTTTACTTTGTTAATTTGAAGTAATTTCAACCTTACAAAAAAAAAAGTGGCAAGCCCAATACAAATAATTATTTTCTATTTTACCTAAAAGTTGATTGCAATCATGATGTTTCTTAACACTGGATTCCTTCAGAAATTTCTATAAGTATATTCTCCTACTTGAAAGTAATAGGCATCCAAATCAGGAAATCAGCATCTATACATTATTCCCATTTAGCCCACAGGGCCCGTTCACATTTAGTATTTGGCCTCAGTAGCAAAAGGATCCGTTCTAGCGGTGCACATTTACTTGTCATGTCTGCTCCCTCGGCCCAGAACAGTCTTTCAGTCCTTTCTGGACTTCAGAATCTTGGTGCTTCTGAGGGTTTACAGGGAAGTTATTTCATAGTCCTTCTGAAATCAATTTGCGTTTGTCTGATGTTTCCTCATGATTAGGTTCAAGCCATGGGTCTTTGCCCGGAATAAATTCTGTGTTCTTTTCACTATGCCCTGCTAGGTGGTACACAGTTTCCGTATGTCATGTCATTAATGATGTTAACTTTGTTTACTTAAAGTGTTGGCTGATATCAGTTTGCCCACTGTTGTTTTTCCTTTATCACTATGTATTTGTCAGGAGATGCTTTAATATTATGTAATTATCCCTTTTCTCATCAAACTTTCATTCATTTGTTTTAACATCCACTGATGTTTCTTGCTAAGTTCTAGCAGTGAAGGTTGCCACATAGTGATTTTATAATACTGTCATTTCTTCTACTTTTATTAGTTGTCATTTATTTCCCCATTATCTACTCATTCACTTATTTATATTGGTATGGGTCTATGGATTGCTCTTCCTATAATGAACTATTTGGGGCTTTTTGTTGTTGTTGAGTTTGGGTTTTTTGTTTTTTGCTTTTTCTTGGTGCCAGGGATTGAACCCAGGGCCTTGCCCATGCTAAGCAAGTGTTCCATTACTGAGCTTTGTACCCAACCCTTTTTTTAAATTTTATTCTGAGACAGGGTCTCCCCTGAGTAGCTGGGATTATAGACATGTACCACCACACCATACCATACTAGTTAGTATGATGATATTGAAGCTTATATTGTCCTCGATTTGATCAAGGAGAGCATGTTCAAACTGACGTCTGTACCATTTTTCTATGTCCCCATTATTCTTTCATTTCTTACATTTTGTAAAACAGAAATTTTCGGACTTACATTTGCCTTCCCAGGTCCAAGAATAACCTAGTCAGCCATTCTTCCCAAGAACTCTGGTTCCTTTTGGTGAAGAATGATTCATAATAATCAAGATCTGGATTCTGGGTATCTTTGCCATTGGGGTATCACTGCCCCCCAACTCTTTCACTACAATACATGAATATATATATATATATATATACATGGATGCACACACATGTATTTGTATGTATTGCTATACATACAATATGTGTGTGTAGATCTAGGAAATTGAATTCACATTGATTCCTCCAGTTCCATTTATACAGACAGCATAGAGGGACAAGGTGGTACACACCTGTAATCCTAGCACTTGGGAGGCTGAGGCAGGAGTGTCACCACAAATTCAAGGCCAGCCTGGGCTACATAGTGAGTTCCAGACCAGACTGCACTACAAAGCAAGGCCCTGTCTCAAAAACACAGCACAGGGTTTGTTATAGAGTTCTCCTTTTCCATACTTCTTCTTTTCCTTCAACAGTGAAAAACTGGAATCCCATTATCTTCAATATAATTTTTTATTGGCACAATCACTGTGTGTGTGAATGGTCTCGGTCCACTATGGTCTTCTCCTCTTTTTATCCCACATAGATGCCTACCTTGCTCAGCCCCACCAAATGGCTTTAGAAATTTAGCTTAAGCAGTTACTAGGAACAAGTATGAAAAGATCCATATATAATGATATTTATTAAAGTATTCTTTGTAGTAGCCAAAAACAACTTAATTAGAAATGAGAAACCAGGGCTGGGGATTTAGCTCAGCAGCACAGCGCCTGCCTGGTAAGCGTGAGGTCGTGAGTTCGGTTCCCGGTACGGGGAAAAAAAAAAAAAAAAAAGAAATAAGAAACCAATTAAAGAGGGAGGAAGGTAAATTTCTATTCATGTAGTAGAATAACTTCTGCTATTAAAAAGTGAAGTTAAATGTATATATTGATGTGGAAGGGCATTTGCCATGTAATAAGAAAGGCAAGCCACAAGTGTTCAGGTTAGGATACCTTCAATATATGTAAAAAATAATATTAGTGACGATATATAGATTTATCTGTATATATGGTACACTCTTCACTGTTTAGGGTTTTTTCATACTGACTTTTACTTCTGTACTTAAAGAGAAGAAACACATGTCTTTTTTTTTTTTACCCCCGGTATTTGCGATTGAACCCAGGTCCTTCACACTGAGCTACACTCCCAGCTCTGTTTTTTATTTTTATTTTGAGACAGGGTCTCAGTTACTGAATTTCCCAGGTTGGACTTGAACTTGGTATCCTCCTCCCTCAGCCACCCAGAGTGCTGGGATTACAAGCATATGCCACCATGCCTGGCAAAGAAACGTGTGATTTTTAAAGCTGAGGGCTATTTAGGGCTGGAGCTGCCATTACAGATGGATATCAGATGGACTGATGTCAAAAGTAGCATCAGTGACAGGTGCTCATTGTCTATGCAGGGATCTAAGATGTGCATTAAAAATTTTTGCAGATGCCCTGCTCTGCCATGACGATGAGCTGGAAGGGCGCCGGGTGGCCTTCATTCTGTACCTGGTTCCTCCCTGGGACAGGAGCCTAGGGGGCACCCTGGACCTGTACAACACTGATGGTAAGATGGGTGCATGGTCGTCACCACCACTGACCCTTCCTGAATTACAACCAAGGTGACTGAGCATCATTGCGAAGGCAGTGAAAGCCACTTGTTACAGTGGTTCTGACAAGCACCTACTGAAGTTGTACTGAAAATAATCATTCTTCTAGAGAGAAAATTAGAATCAATTTAAGATGAGAAATAGAACCTGCTTCTAAATACTGACTGTGGGAGGGTAGAAAGCATACAGAGATGCCTGTGGCTATGAATCTGACAGGACCAGTCTGTTGGACAGGAAGTTGGGTTTTTTTGAATGACTGACACTACAGGTTGACACCAGGAAACTTTCAGAATTTACTTCAGCTTTTATCTGTTATAAATGGGTGATGTGGTAAGAACGCATCACCTAGCAGAATGAGCAAGTATGAATGAAACCGATGAAAGGGCATGGTTTTCTACAATGTGGAGGGTACTTCCACATAACCCCAGAAATTTGAGAGTTGTCAAGAGTGAAATGAAGTGGCCTGGAAGTGGTTAATGGTACTGAACCACGTTTGTGGATGTGTTCTCTCCTGGTGCAGAACACTTCCAGCCGAAGCAGATTGTCAAGTCTCTTGTCCCTTCGTGGAACAAACTGGTTTTCTTTGAAGTGTCTCCAGTATCCTTTCACCAGGTAAAGATTGTAAGCCACACATATACTGGTATACAAGTACTAAGAACATTCTTTCGTTATCTGTTATCTAAATGTGGCAGCTTCCTGTTGGGCTTGTTAACTGACTAGGTTGCTTTCACACCTGGCTTGAGGGATCCTCAGATTAATTTGCCTTGGCTGGTGTCCTTCCTCTCTCCCTTGGGTTGAAGTACCGCTGTTCTCCTTCTTTCAGGTGTCTGAAGTCCTTTCTGAAGACAAGTCTCGTTTGTCTATCAGCGGCTGGTTTCATGGTCCTTCACTGAACAGGCCTCGTACCTACTTTGAACCCCCCGTACCTAGGAACCCTCACATCCCAAAAGATGTAAGGATAAGTTATAGGGATTCTTATTTTAGGAGTTACAGCATTTCATTTTCTGATTTTAAAGTTAGGCCTTCGTGAAAAGGACACTAGACTTTAAGCTTGCACCTTCCACTTTTATTAGATAAACTTGTGATTTTGTGTTTCTCAGGCAGTTTTCCAGTACTTTATGCTTAACAGGAAAAACTTACAGAGTGAAGATTTACATATATTTTAGTAGTGTGAAAGATGTAAGAACAAAAGCTATAGAAATTATTATTAACTCTCTTTTATATCTGCTGCTTCTTTGTAAGCATGAAATTTTGTATGAGTGGATCAATCCTTCTTATCTGGACATGGAATATCAAGCTCAAATTCAAGAAGAGTTTGAAGAAAGGTCTGAAATTCTCCTGAAGGAATTTCTTAAGGTCGGTCAGCATATCTTGTTCGGCAGGCAATCTTGCCTCTTGAATGGGTAAATACAATCCCTGTTGCAACATCATCCACAAGAAAGTTTTGTTTTGTTTTTTCCTGGCTCTAATATTTATATAGTTCTTCTCAAGTAAAATACAGAAATGATAATAGTACACATTGGTGTTAGTTGTATGCTTAGTAGATTAAGAGTCTCTTGTGTATTCCCGTTAGTTTAGAACTGTTTTTTGTTTGTTGTTTGTTTTTGTGGTACCAGGGATTTGAACCTAGAGCCTTGCACATGCTGGGCAAGCCCTCTACTACTGAACTACATCCTTAGCCCTTTTTAAAATCTTATTCTGAGACAGGGTCTTGCTAGGATGTCCAGGCTGGCCTTGAACTTGTAATCCTCTTGCCTCAGCTCCCCTAGTAACTGGAATTATAGGTCGTTACGGGCCATTGCACCCAGCCTTTCTAGAACCTTATCAGACAGTGCATACAGGCACATAAAAGTCTACAAGGGAGTCTGCAAGGGAGTTGTTACCTAGTTCCCTTTCTATTCCTTTGATGAGTGTGGTTTTTGTTTTTTTTTTAACAATAGATACTATTAATTGTAGCTGAACAACATCATTATTTTTTAAATTTTTTTTTTTTTTAAGTATTGAGGATTATATCAAACATACTAGACAAGTACTGTAGCACTGAGCTGTATTCCCAGCCCTTTTTATTTCGAGACAGGCTTACTGCGTTGCTTAGGCTAGGCTCAAACTTGGAATCGTCCTGCCTGTGTCTCCAAAGCAGCTGAGATTACAGGCATGTATCACTGCACCCAGCAGTCAACATCTACTGATAAATGTTTGGCAGTGATGAGGTGATTTCTTACAGTGAAAAGAGGTGTGAAATCAGAAGACCTATATTCACATCCTGGCTCTGGTTTTACTAACCTGAGTAAAGCACTGCATTTCTCTATTTGTTTTATCATCAGTTACATTAGGGTAATACTGCCTGCTTTTCTTGCAGAACTTTGTGAGGGCTACATGAGATAACTGGCCTTCACAGTTGGCCATGGGCCCAATGGAATCACATTCCCACGAGCTATTCCTCCATGAAAAGGGGTGGACAGAGCCCACATGCTAGCTCTTTTCCTTGGGATTTTGTAGCTGACAGCGTATTACAGAATTTGAGGAGTGTTAGAGTAAATAAACTTGTTTGGCTAATTTAATTGCACTTACTTAAACCATGCTGTCAGGGTTTTTTCGTCTTTCACGTGTTTACAGCTGACAGGAGCTGCTGGTACTCCCTGGAAAATTGTATTAAACAGATAAATGTAAAGTCTCGTGGATAATGTTGCAAGAGATTAACCAGCTTTTGTATTGGTATTCAACTTTTTGAATTTAGAAAATTCATTAAATAAGGGCCAAGAGAATCTGTTTTATTATTCCCTTGTAATCACCCTGACTGTAATGCAGTTAATTTTTTTCCTCACGATAGCCTATGAGTTAAAAAGTCTGTATTATGCTCCTCATTTCATAAATCTAAGAATTAGAGATTGAAGATATGCAACCACTTAAAGGAATGCCCACACTGACACTCGGGTCTCCTAGCTAAATCAAGACAACAGTGTATCCAATCTGCCTGACTTCACAGTAGCAGATCTTGTATGAAAGAGGTGAGTGTTACATGAAACTTTTAGGAATCAGCCAGAGTGAAGTTTTGTAAAGCTGCTGCATCTGCCAGAGCTGTGTGAGTTCATAAGAAGAGTTACTAACTGCTTCTTTGTTTGCTTGTTATTAACTGCTTTATTTGCTTATTTTCCAGCCTGAGAAGTTCTCAAAGGTCTGTGAGGCATTGGAGGCGGGAGCTGTGGAATGGAATAGCTGTGGTCCCCCTAACAAAAGGTAGAAACCGTCATCCATGACATCTGCATCTGCATTCAGCACCTCCCTTTCTTGTCTGCACAGCTCATCTCCAGTAATAGGGCACTGGCCATAATGTTTTGCTCCGGGGGTGTCCGGTAGCAGGCCTTACCAAATCTCACCACTGCGAGAAAGATTTGGGGAGACAGGTCAGAGGTAATGATCAGCATTCATCCCGTGAGTAATTCTCGTAGGGCTTGATGAACTTGGCATTGCTGCTTTTCAGGTTTTATGAGAAAGCTGAGGAGAGTCGGCTCCCTGACATACTGAAGGACTGCATGGAGTTATTTCACTCGGAGGCGCTGTTCTTGCTGCTTTCCAACTTTACGGGCCTGAAGCTTCACTTCTTGGCCCCTTCAGAAGAAGATGAGATCAAAGACAAGGCAGAGGGAGAAGCGGCTCTTGCGACGGGTAGCACTGAAGAGGGGACCAGCCATGGCTCCTCAGAGAGTGATCAGGCAGCCATCAGTAACAACAGCCAACAAAGCAATGAACAGAGAGACTCAGCACCGGAGGAAGAAACGGAGAAGAAGAGTAAGCTGGTGTTAGGCTGTGTCCTTATTTACCTTTAACTGTTCATTGTACAATCATTCATTCATTCAACAAATAGTCCTTGAGTATCTACTGTTATGCTGAGCCCCATAATTCAGTTGGGGAACAAAACAGACAAGGGTGTTGCTTTCCTGGAGCTTACATCTGGTAGGAGAGAACGTAGATTAAATGTGTACACAAGCAACAGGAAAGTGCACCTGGCATTGTAATAGGGGCACATGAGAAGGAGCGACTGACAGGTGAGCGGGTGACCCAGAAGACATTTATACACACACGTTTATACTGGCATTAGGCCTTACATATTTTTCTGTAATCTTTTTTTCTCACCCAGTATTTCACAAACATTTTACACCCTTTATACTAATAGATCTGCACACGCTGGGAAGCCCTTCCATCCCCCGACCAAAGCAACTTTACATACCTGTGTTTGCTGTCCAGCGTTGCATTTTTGTCACTGTATTTCATTTTAAGACTGTCATACATAGCTAAGGGTTTTAAATGCTGCTGTTCTGATAATTTTTATTGACTATAAAATATCTCATCGGATGACCTTAACCAGTCCCATGTGGTGTGTTTGGGTTCTTTCCAGCTCTCTACCATCACTGTTCTTAGAACAGCTTCTTAGAACTACAAGTGTTAATGGGGCTGACCTCAGAAGCTAAGCCAGTTCAGGCCTGGTTCGTACTTAGGTGGGAGAGGGGGAAAGTGCAACATCAAAAACTGTATGTTTTTGTTTTTGTTTTTTAATACTGGGGATTTTATTTTGAAACAGGTTCTTGCAAAGTCATTAAATTGTACAGAGTGGGTTCAAACTTGTGATCCTCCTGCCTCAGCCTCCTAGAAAGCTAGGATTATAGGTGTACGCCACCATGCCTATAGACCGCTCAGAATTTTAAAGCAGTTGTCGAGTTTTCTTCCCTAAAACTTGCATCAATCTGCCTTCCCACCAGCATTCTGTATGAGGCTGTCCTTCTTTCTGGCAAATTAATTATTACTGTGTTTTCTTTTCCAACTCTGCTTATTCTGTGGATGAAAATGTGACTTGCCTTTCATTGATTAATTCGTTGTATGGTTGTAAATTTTCTTTATGTTTATTGGGTATTTGAGTTTCTTTCATTTGGCCTTTTTGTCATTTTCTTACCTATTGTAAAAAATGTAGGGGCTGGGGATATAGCTCAGCAGCGCAACCACCTGCCTGGTAAGCACAAGGTCCTGAGTTCTATTCCTGGTGCCAAAAAAAAAAAAAATGTTATTTATGGAATTATTAACCCTCTGTCCTATGTGTTTAATAGTTTGCTTTGTAATTTTGTTTAGCATGATTTAGCTTTTCTTTTAATGGGGAGTGTTAGGGATCAACCCAAGGGTCTCATGCATGCTAGGCAAGTGCTCCCCACCTATAAACTTTACAGAATGCTCTAGTAAACAAAGCTGTATCTGCTTTTCATGGTTTCTGCTTTTGGTAGTGACATACTGAGAAATTTTCCCTTCAAGATTCAGTGGTACTCAAGATTTTAAAATTTATTTGTTGGTTTATTTATTTGAGGTAAACTCAAAATTTATTACAGAGAAATTGAAATTTAACTTTCTTTCCCCTCACATATACCTGGTAACTTCTGATGATCATTTATAAGACTAGATGGTGGAAATTAAAGGTTTGCATGCACAGTTTCAGAGTTACCTGTAAAATTTATTGGCCTTTCTTCTGTTGCTTTTTCTTAGAGTCAGGTGTCCCCACCTGCCAGGGCGAACTGAGGCGTTGGAGGACTGGTCACTACACTTTAATCCACGACAACAGCCAGACTGAATTCGCCTTGGACTTAGTTCTTTACTGTGGCTGTGAAGGTAAGGACAGAAAGCAGTGAACTGTTTGCTTAGAGGACCAGTCTCTCCTGTGTGATCCTCTCCAGCTAGACCAACTCAAAAGTGATTTTCTGTAGCCAAGATGTCCTGTCACGGGATCTCACAGTTCTACGGGATGTTGAGTGTCAGGAATTTCAGTCTCACAATTCAAATTAGAATTTATATCTGACCTAAGAATGGGAGATGGACTGTACCATAACTCTCCCCCAAGGCCTCTTCTCCCACCCATAACTTTCAGGTAATTGCCTTTCAGAATATATTTAAAATTTCAATCTGTCAATTTTTTTATTCTGCATCAGTTGAAGTAAGGGTGTATTCCAGTTCATCTGTGGGAAATTAGGCCTTTGGGGAAAGGGACTCTGATAACAGATGGTAAGTTCACAAGTCACAGAGCTGGGGACTATTGAATCCCAGAGCCCTCACTTTCCTGCGGGTGATGGAACTCTTGCGGCAAGAGCTCTCTGAGTGCTGGTTTTTTTCTCTTGGTAGGCTGGGAGCCGGAATATGGTGGCTTTACTTGCTATATGGCCAAAGACGAAGATGAAGAGGTAAGGTGCTTCTTATACAAATGCTCCATTTTAGTTCATGAGAAGGCTTTCATTCTTCAGAGACCCAGTGTCTGTGACCTCTGCCAGTGTCTTTCAGCTGATTAGTCTATGTTGTAATGCCTGGCTGTGGCTCTAATTTCTACAAGAAAATACTCAGTACAGAATAAGGATAATTACTAAGCATTCATTCTACCCTGAGAAATTGCAAATTTGTCACAGATCTTTTCCCACAAACCTTCCAATGTCATTAGAAATACATGCATTCAATAAAACCTTTCTGGGTATTTGCTGATAGAACGGAGCTTGTTGAAAAAGTCTTGAAAACCAGAAGAAAGTTTATTTCTGAATGAAGCCTCTTTCAAAGGATCCCCTCTCCCCGTCTTAGATGCTTGCTATGGAAACTGTTTTGTAGTAAATTATTGAAGCTTGAGAATGAGCCCCATGTTGTAATGTGTTGTATTTGCCTTTTTCAGCTGCTAGTAGTGAATCCAGAGAACAATTCTTTGGCCTTGGTCTACAGAGACAGAGAGACTCTGAAGTTTGTCAAGCATATTAACCATCGAAGCCGAGAACTAAAGAAAACTTTCCCCAACAGAACTGGTTTCTGGGACTTCTCATTCATCTATTATGAATAACAGGAGTGGGCAGAGCTGAACAAAAGACACCCCTCATTCGGTCCTGGAGGGGTCTAGAAGAGCAAGGCGTTGAGAGCTCTCTCGCAAGCCCTCTGACAGTGTTCTTAATGCTTGTCCATTAATCAGATTCATGGTTGTCCTCAGCTTGCACCTTGAGCTTAGAGCTATATATTCATCTCTTGATTTTCTTTTTTCCGGTCCTGGGATGGAAGCCAGGGCTTCGTGTATGCTAGGCAGTGCTTTTGAACGTGGAGTTCATTTTGCGTATTGACTGCCTCAACTCTTTTTTTTTCTAACTTAAGTGATTTTTTTTCATTATTTATGTGGTTGTAAGACAAAATATATTTTTTAAAAAAAGACAAAATATAGCAGCTTAACCATTTTTAAATGCACAATTCAGTGGTATTGAGTACATTCATAGTGTACAGACATCACCAATATCCTACACTTTTTCCGTCTTCTGAAACCAAAACTCTGTGTGACAACTCCCCACTGTCCCCGACCGTTCTCCTTTCCATCTCTGCTGACTACTATTCCTCATCAGTGGAATCACAGTATTTGTATACATCATATGTATTTTGTGACTGACTTACTTTGCTCAGCATAAAGTGCTCAAAGATCATTGGCGTTTCCTCGTTGGTGTTTCCGTTCTTCTTCTAAGTGATTGCAGAGTCTGTTCCTCCCAGTCACACTGGTGTGGACAGTTACAGGACCTTAATCTGGTTCATGCTGGGCCTTAGAGATCTGACCCAATGTGAGTCACTATACTCCCTCTTCCACTGCCTGTGGGCTGTGTTTCAGTGTGACCCTCCCAGGGCGGGCTAGAGTTAGCTGATGTGTGGTGTCACTCCCTGGAAAAGGTCTGGATAAAACCACATGGCCTTAAGAAACATTGGGTTGGGGGGCTGGGGATTTAGCTCAGTGGCAAAGCGCCTGCCTGGCAAGCGCAAGGTCATGAGTTCGGTTTCCAGTACCGGAGAAAAACCAAAAAAAAAAGAAACATTGGGTTGGTAAAGAGGAAAGGCTGCTCGTTGCCCTGTGCAGGCATCTCTAGCCACCGCTGCCTTTCCCCCGGAGCTGTGGCTTCTGAGTCCAGCCTCACACACGGCTTTGATTTTCCTAGATGCTGCAGCTGTAACTGTAGAACTAGTTGCCTTTTTTCCTTTAAGAGGCCCAGGGCTAAACAGCCACATCAAGATGCAAGGGGCTTTCCATTCTGTTACATTCTTCTCCCTTCACATTGCTTCGCAGGGCTCTGTCTTAACTGCTGGTACGTGTGTGAGGGCATACGGTGGGTAAAGATGGTGTTCTCACTCCCTCTTGTGCTGTTTGCCTCTTTGCTTCCTTTCTTTCTTCTCTTACTTAATGTTCCAGTACTTTTTAGTAGGCGTATTTATTCACAGGAAAAGCATTGCACCTTTAAACTTCTCGACCATTCTGCTTCATGTCCTAAAACTTGTTCCTAAGTTTAAGAGAAAGAGTTTCATTTTGTTTTAGGTTGATGATTTTTTTTAAAAATTTTATTATATATCCTAAGCAAGAAAACACATTTTAGCATGTATGCCCACTATTAAGTTTTATACATGTAGTAATATAGTTATAAAATAGTATTGATGATCCTGACCTTGTGTAGACCTAGACTAAAGTATTTGTCCTGAGCTTTTAACAAAAAAGTCTAAAATGTAAAAATGAATTTAAAAAGTATGTAGAAATAAGGACATAAAATAATTTTGTATAGCTATACAGTGTGTTTTAAGATAAGTGTTGGGGCTGGGGATTTAGCTCAGCGGCAAAAGCGCCTGCCTGGCAAGCGCAAGGTCGTGAGTTCAGTTCCCAGTACCAGAGAAAAACCAAAAAAAAAAAAACAAAACAAAAAAAAAGATAAGTGTTAATTGTACGTCAAAAAATTAAGCTTTAGGGCTGGGGATATAGCACAGTGACACAACACCTGCCTGGCAAGGGTGAGGTCATGAGTTCGATTGCTGATACCAAAAGAAAAAGTTTATGAAGTTACATATGGTAAGTATGTAACTTACATACTTTGCTTCCTCAGCAAAGTATGGTAAGTAAAATTTATTTTTGAAGAAATGTAGAAGATATTGTTTATAGCTATCCCGGTTTAGTAGCCAAAGAAAAATGTGCTATACTATACCATATAGCCTAGGTGTGCAGTAGGCTGTACTACCTAGATTTATGTAAGAACATTGTATAATATTTACATAAAAGTGAAGCTGCCTCAACTTGCAACTATACTTCATTCTGTTTTTTTTTTTTTTTTGGTGCCGGGAATCAAACTCATGACCTCGCGCTTGCCAGGCAGGCCCTGTGCCCCTGAGCTCAATCCCCAGCGCTGGTACTTCATTCTTGATCCTCATTACTTTTTAGGGACTGGGGCCAGTGTCAACAACTGCTGAGTGGCAGGTGAATTAAAATACAGGCATCTTTTTATACCCTTTCCAGAAAAAGATATGATGTTCAACTGTATAATGTATGGCATCTTCCTCAATAGTGAACTTCAAAATTCTTACAACTCCCTTTACTAAAGGAAGTCCCCAGCCCCCAAAGAGAATCGCTTTATGTTTTTCAGAAGTCCCTTCCCTGTTTCCAGTTATCCACAAACGTGTCCAAGACTTGAAGGGCCCTTTGAAGCAACAGCTATTTGGTACCTCATGCACACTATTGCTCACCTTATTGTCCAGAATCGGGATTTGAGCCCAACAGTGCTTCTTCACCTTCCCCTGGGTCTTCCTTCAGCATCTCTGATGAAGGGTTTCAGTTACTGCAGGATACCCACAGCAAGATCAAGCGCATCAAGAACTAAGGTTCACTCTGTCCTGGGCTCTAGCTCATGGCTGTGGGTTCCAGCTATTCTCAACTTTACATCCTATCTGCCACGTGGACTTCAAGCTCTAGCATCTGATGGGAAAGCAGCCTTACAGAGACTACCTCAACTACCTCCTGTGATTAAGTCACGTCCCCTTTGTATATTCACTGTCATGGAAATAAGGTACATTTTTAGAAAGCTGATTTGCATTTTTAAATTTTTTAACAGGAAGAAAAAAGGATAACCCTGTAAGTAATCTAATACCAGGCTGTGGAAAGTGAAGCCTAGAAGAAAGTTACGTTTTGAACCTCACTTCTCCATTGCCCAAAGCCTTTGAAATTTCACTGTTTTCTTCCCCACAGAATATCAGAAAAATGCAGTTGTGGGGCTACATCTCCTAGACCAGTGTTTCTGCAACAAGTTTTTGGCTGAAGTACTTCCGCACCACTATCATATACTTACGCCACAAGGAGGCTGTGCAGCCTTCAAGGAGTGGATGTCCCTAGAACAAGATGACCTCTCAGATACAAAAACCCAACCACACAGGCAATGGAAAAGATACTTGGGAACTATCTGTGTGGCATCCTTTTTTAGGAGTTCTGTACTGTACAAATAAAAAGATGACTCAGGAGCTAGAGCATATAGTGTGGGCAGGGGCCAGATGGAAATGGGAAAATGCAGAATAAGTTGGCAGTGGGTGCCTTACTGTACTTGTTTCAAAGTGGAATCGGAGATAATTTAGTTCTGTGATCCTGCAGCTGCCCAGTTTGTAATTGCTAATTATAAAATGTGAAGCATTAATAACCATGTTGGAAATCATTTTTTAGAACACTTCTGGGGTTGCAGAATAGTTGTGAAGCACCCAGTTCTGTGGTTTCCAAGGCTCCTGGCAGATGTACTGAGGACAGACAAGCTCACAGAGGGCAGCACCAGTGGTTCAGCCCCAGTGAGGATGAAGAACCTGTTCTCACTAACGGGATTAAGAGTTGTATAAACAGAGACTGTTAAGGAATAGACAGGAAAAAGCTTATGAGCTGGGCCTTGGTGTCCAATAGGCAGACAGTGGGAAATAATAAAACCACACTCTTGAAAATACTGCAGCCAGGGGTGGTGGCACACACCTGTAATCCCAGCTCTAGGGAGGTAGAAGCAGGAGGATCACCATGAGTTCTAGGCCAGCCTGGGCTACATAGTGAGCTCAAGCCCGCCTGAACTGCATAGCAAGATCTTGTCTCAAAAAACATACATAGATAAATAAACTGCATACCTGAATTTGGATTGAAGGTATGCACATGTGTGGTATTTTGGGGGATCCTTTCAAAAAGTTTTCTCCCATATACCAGATTTTCACAAAATCAGCTGTGAAATGAAGGCTGGAGTATTCATCTAAAGCTTCGTTAAAAAAATTGAGCAACAAACTAGTTTAGCGATAGCTGCTAGAAGTAGCACTCAGATTATACCAGGATATGCAAATAGCAACAGAATAGAACAGTAACTGATTAACTCATTTCTAAGGAATTGCTAAGCTGAACATGACTGCTAAGAAGTCAAAAGAAGGAAAAAAGGGTAGCTGTGTTTTGTGAATATCTTCTTCCCATACAGTCTACTTACTTGGGGACAACTTGGACAACTTGGACTAACTGGAAGGGCCATGACCACAGGACTAGGTTTCTAAACCTTCATACCACAACTTAACCCAGTTTCTGGGATGCTGTACAGGACAGTCTGCCTTCCTAAACTAAGAGGCTCATCCCTGACATGCTGATAGCAAGATCGAATTAATGTGAAAGTTACTTATTATCCTTCAGGGCTGCTTACACATCCTGCTGCAGGCCAGCCCTTTCTAGCCCTGCCACATATATTTTGGGATCTAAAGGAAGCTTTCTGGCAAAGAAAATGAAGCAACCAATGATTGTATTTGGCTTATGAAAGATGAATGGTACCATGTTATTTAAAACCAGCACTAAGACTGCAATCTCAAAATGTATGAACTAGGGCTGCAAATATAGCTCAATGTTAGGGGGCTTGCCTACCATGCACGAGACCCCGAGTTCAATCCCCTGTAAACCCCTCCCAAACACATACAAAGCTATGTTAGGCTATGGTTAAAACAGGAAAAAATAAAAAACCAATCAAGCTTGAATTTGGTACTAATTCTTTGACCCTGGCAAGTAATTACTCTCTGTTCCTCAGTTTCTTTATCTTTGAGCAGATATAATACTTTGTTACTGACGGGAGTGGTGGTGCACGCCTGTAATCTCAGCACTCAGGGCACTGAGGGAAGAGGATCATGGCAAGTTTGAGACCAGCCTGGGCTACAAAGTGAGCTTATGGCCAGCCGAAACTACATAGTGAGACCTTGTCTCAAGAAGACAAAAAAAAAAAACCAAAATAACACACAAAAAAACTATTACTTAAGGGATTGTTGGAAATAATATATGTATCTCCAGCTTATAAAAATTAAAATTATTATTATAGAAATTAGGACTCCATAAAGCCTATACTTCAGATATAGGAGGAATTGTAAGTGGCCAAGTTGAGGAGACAATAAAATTACTGTAGTTTCTAACCTCAAAGGGAAGGTCTCACTCCACCCCCAACTGCTTATGAATGCTATTTAAAATGGGAAAACTGACGTGTTTTAGGCATTAAGCCAGTCGTGAAGTCTACATTAGGGCACAATTTTACCTCCTAGGCAGGGACTGGCTAGCATGCAGGGAGATGACATTTCCCGGCCTCCCCTGCAGGCTGGCCATGTTACCCAAAGCAATGGGAGTGAATGATAGTGTGCTGTTTCCGCGCCACAGCTCGAAACAAACGGGCTTCCTCCTCACTCTTCCTTTTCTGCTGCTTTGGATATAAATAACTGTCACAGCCTAGGCCCACTCCTGTCAGGGCTCTAAGAGAATGGAGGGCAATGCTAGAAGGCCTCCATTGTATGCAGTGAATATGAAAATAGTCACCTAATTCATTTTCATTTTGTTTATAATAAATTAAAAAGAAACGAGATCTGTTACAGCAGCTAATACTACCTCAACTAACTGATCACCCTAAACTGACTCTCCTTTAATATATATTTTTTGTTTGTTTTTTCTTCCAGTACCAGGAATCGAACTCACGACCTTGCGCTTGTCAGGCAGGTGCTGTGCCGCTAAGCTAAATCCCCAGCCCCTCTCCTTTAATATATATTGTTTACACTGTTATGGCTTGTGTCTTGATGTCTTCCCAAAGCCTTATATGCTCATAGATGCGGTTTTTTGGTGCTGGCTAGATCTAGGGTATGATACTGTAAGGGTGTTTGGTACTAAATTAGTGCACTAAATGGGTTTAGCACAGTTGTGGGTGTGGATAATGGAAACCCCACCCTGGGTATGGGTGGCACCAATCAATAGACTTGTATCCCGGATGGAATATAAGGGGAAGGAGGGAAATGCACACTGCTGCTGCTACTTGCTGCTTGTTGCTGCCTTCTGCCAGCCACACTATGGACTTTTTCTCCTCTGCAGTGTCCCTCTGCCACACCATCCTGCCTTGGAGCCAGCGACTGTGGAGTGAAGCCTCTACAGACTGAGCCAAAACAAACCTTTCCTCCTTTAACTTGTGGGCGTCAGGTAGTCTGTGTCAGAACAAGCAAAGTAACTAAGATGTTCATGTTTCAGTGATTAAAAGGAAGGCACACAAATTGAATAACTTACAGTTTTTTCTTAACAAAATACAAATGGTTTATACAATTCTTCTATGGTAGTTTTTTACAATCAGTCAATAACAAAGTATAATACAATCAGTCAATAACAAAGTATGATTTTAATTTTAATAAAAAGAGTCTATTTGAAAATTATGAATTCAATTACAAGTTGAAGGAAAAAGATATATTTATGCATTGTCTTTGTATATATAAACAAAAATAGGAAGAGGTTTCATTTTTTCAGATGTAATGCTTTATATTTAATTTGTGCAGATCACCAAGGTTTTTTTTTTTTCCGTTCTGAGCAATCTGGGTTCACCTGGACATGATCCAGGACAAAAGAGCCTAGAATTGTAGGAAAAACCTTTTCTAGGACCTTGATTCTTTATTTACTCTTCTATGAAGGAGCTGTCCCCACCCGCATAATTCTGAACAGTGTGTTGATGTTGTTGCTTCGAATCGCATCCCGACAAGCAGTTATCACTTGGTTCTTTGGTTTTCCAACTGTATGAGAAGAAACATCAAGTCAGTATGTCCCCAAAAGACTATTAAAAGTAAAGTAAAATTATACAAGCACTCGGGAAGCTGAGGCAGAAGGATCACTGTGAGTTTGAGGTCAGCCTGGACTACCTAATGAGTTCAAGGACAGCCTGAACTACATAGAACCTGTCTCAAAAACCAAATAAATAAATGTTAAAGTATAGAGTCGTTTTAAAATAATATAAAACTAGGTGAGAAAATAATTACATATGCAAATGTTACCAATTTATGTTACCACTCTCAAAAAGAGGTAATTTGATAGAGAAATTTATCATAAAACAAACTTAGAGAACATTCATACCTAGAAACCAATCAAAACTCACATGCATCTAGCAGTGATTATTTCTAAAAAGGTCACAGCATTGACCCAAAACAGCAGAAGTCAGATATCAATCTAGCTACATTTTTGCTACATTTTTACATTTCTTCTCATACATTTTTGCTTCCTTTGGTTTATCCTGTTGTTTTCAGTTCAGTGGGGACTTTAAGGCTCTACACTTCCTTCCAGGTATAAACACTAGGGTTTTCCTAGAAGATGCATCAAGATAAAAAGCTAAGGTTTTCCTTTTTTTTTGGTTTTGTTTTCTGAGACCGTCTTGCTGTGTACAGTAGTGCGGCAGGCCCCAAATTCACAGTCCTCCTGCCCCAGACTCCCGAGTGCTGGGGTTAGAAGCGTGCACCACTGCACCTCGCTAGAAGCTTCTTTCCCTTTGAAGTCTAGAGACTGAAGCTAAACAGTAGGCTGACTGATGGAAACCCAAGTGACGGGGCCAACTTTGGAGTGTTGGGGCCCCAGTATGAATTATGCAACTGTTACCGCCCAAAAATTACAGTGCCACGAACAGAGACTTACCACGCAGACGACCTGCCCTTTGAATTGCTTGATTTACTGCTTTAAGGTTTCCTAATAGTTCTGTGTGATTGTTACAGCGAATTTTATATCCATTCAGCAAGTCTTTATTAAGGTCATACAGTTCCATGTAACGATTCTTCATTGTTTTCCTGTGTAAATCAACAGAAAGTTAATATCATTGTTTCTTAATATGGCAGGCTTACGAATCACCTGCACACTTCTTAGGCACAGTTTTAGAAAGAGAGAAGACATTCGTAACTCTGTTTTCATTAAAATTGGGTAACCAATAAAGTTTTCTTTGAAAACCTTGTTAAGTTTCCATCAAAATCACCTATTAAATAAATAGAAGTCAAGTCGATTTTCTTGTAACTGGTCCCTAGTTGGTTTGGCTTTAAAAACTTAAGAATTACAAGCGAGAAAAAAAAAAAAAAAGAATTTTAAGCCCACTGTGTTGAACGTAAGGGAAAGTGAAAAAGGTGATAGGCCTGCCTTTCAAGTTTCAGGTTAATATTCATTAGATAAAACTAACCTATTCTACATAAATATAGCTAGACAACAGAGTCAGCTTCATTTTTTAATCAAGATATTTTTAAAAGTATATGATAAAACCACATAACCACAAAGAAATATTATTACCCAATAATAAAAATGATTACATTTTTTAAAAACTGAAAATATCACGCTGGAACAACGAGAGCAACTAGAACTCTCATACATTGCTGACAAGAACACAAAATAATGCAGTTATTTTGCTAACTTCTTTGGCAGTTGCTACATAACCTCGCAAACCCATCCCAAGAGAAATGAAATGAAATGTGTGCAGAAAACCAGTATTAAGTATATACAGCAGCTTGATCCACAATCATTAAAGTCTAGAAACAGCCCTAATGTCCATCACAGGATGAAAGGATAAATTACTGCACATCTATACGATGGAATATTATTCAGAACTTTTAAAAAATGGTCTCCAAATACAGCACATGCAACAACAGGAGAGAGCCGCAAAGGCTTCATGGTAAGTTAAAGAGGCCAAGCTCAAGGCCTCTGTATTATGGCTCCTTTTATGTGATATTCTGGAAAATGTAAAACTGCAGGGGAAGTAGTCCCACGGGGTTAGGAGAAACAAAAGCACAAACGTGACAAAAGCATTCTAAGTCTTGGCTGCAGTAACAGGTAAGTTTCTCCAAATTTATTAAATGGTAAACCTCAAAAAGGATGAACTGTCTGTGTATATGTTATATATTAACTAAACTGACAAATAAAAACAAATATATACATTAGAACTTCTATGAAAAATACAAATAATTCCAGAAAACAGAAACTTAGAGGCTGGTGGTCACTTTTCTCCTTAGGCATTTTATGCTCTTCAGAGTCAAATGCCTAATAATCCAGCAACATCGTTCTGATTTAAAAAAAAAAAAAAAGAGTGAGAGAGACAGAGAAAGTAGAAGGCCTAGAGCAAGCTGGCCAGAGAAAGCAAATATCTATTTCAATTTACAGATGATAAAAGTACCTATGTGCTGTGGTTTATACCTAGACGTCCCTCAAGAGCCTCAGGCACTCACAGGCAGGGCTTTTCAAGGCGATGGGATTACAGGGGTGCTACAGCGGGCTTGCTGTTAGGAGGCAGGGCCTGGTTAGAGTGGCGTCACTGGGCTCCCTTCTCTCTTCTCTCCCTGCTTCTTAACCACCATGACATGGAGCTTTTTCTCCAGAAGGCCCCTCTGCTACACCTTCCAGCCTCGGAGCCAGCTGATTATGGAGCCAAAATAAATCCCTTGAGTTGTGGATGACAGGGCTTGTGTCTCAAAAATGACAAAAGTCAATAAGACAACATCTGAAAAACTAATTTTATTTTTTGGACTGGGAATCAGACTCAGGACCTCACACTTTCCAAGCAAGTGCTACGCCACTGAGCTATATCCCCAGCCCAAAAACTGTAATTTAGCTAAGTAGCAGAATACAACATGAGGAGAGGTTTATTTGGCTCACAGTTTCCCATTGGTTCAGGGTATTACTGGCTGGATCCGAGGCAAAAACAGCTTGGTGGAAATGCGTGGTAGAGAAAAGCAGCTCAACTCACGCAGGCAGAAAGCAGAGAAAGGAGGGGCCGGGGACAACAGTGCCCCCTCCGGGTGGTCTTCAGTGACACATCTTAGCCAGACCTCACTTCCTCACAGCACATTTCAGCACAATAATCCATTAGCCCACAGTGCAGCACCCCTATGATCCAGTCACTTTCCAAAGCCCCACCTCTCAATAAGGAGGCCTTGGCGGAGTGTGTTAGATCTAAACCATAACACTTCATTCTTTTGCAGTGTTAAGAATCTAACTCAGGGGCCCTGCAACACCAGTGCTCCACCTCTGAGCCACATCCCCAGTCCCGCTCTTTACAGTTTTATCATTCATATGCTTCCCAAGGAATAGAGTTTGGCTTTTTTTCGAACTGTGTAAGCAGGGGCAACTAGTCTCCAGTCAGTTGCCTGTGTTTGTAAGATCTGTCCACGGTGTCATGTGTCATGGAGACTCATACGCACTCTTTGCTCTACTGGGCCAATGTTTAGTATATACCCATTGCACTGGCACATTAGTTTGGATCATTTCTACTTTGGGATTTGCTATGATTTAGATACAGTTTAAGCACACCCCCCCCCCACCGCAAAGGTTTACATGTTGGAAACTTGGGCCCAATGTGACCATGTTACAAGGTGGTAGGACCTTTAAGAGGTGGGACCCTAGTACAAGGTCGTGAGGTCACTGGAGGCCCTGCCCTCAGAATGGATTAAGGTAGTTCTTATGGCACCCTGGTCAGTTCTCTCAAAAGAACTGTTATAAAAGAGTAAGACTGACCAGAAAAACAACAACAACAAAAAAAGAGTAAGACTGGCCCCTCCCTGGTCTGTTGGCTGCCTGTCTTTCCACATGCTCTCTCTCTTGCACATGCTCCTGCAATGACGCCATCAGCCCTTAGGTGATACAGCCAGGGAGCTGCACCAGAGCTAGTGCCATGCTATTTGGACTTTCAGCCTCCCAAACTGTGATAATCCTATTTTCTTTATTCAGTACCCAGCCTCAGATATTTTACAATTCTGATGGAAAACAAATACAGAATTCTTACAAGCAATGCCTTTATGAACATTCTCTTTTGCAGTACTGGGTATTAAACTCAAAGCCTCATGCATGCTAGGGAAGCATCAGTTACATTCCCAGCTCCTTTATGCCGACTCTTGTCCATATATCCTGGTTCACAAGCGCACAAGTTTCTCTAAACTGTATACACTTGCTAGGAGCAGAAATGCTGGGTCACAGGGTGTACACATTTTCAACTTTACTGATGATGCCGTGTTATTTTACAAAGTCACTGTACCAACTTAAACTCCTCCTGAGAGTTCGTACTCACATGTCCCTCATCAGACGAGCATCCTCAGCTCGGACCAGCAAATTTCGGATGAGATTAGAATTATCAGCCATGTCAGCACTGAGCTTCTGATGCACTGTGTGATATTCATCCACCTGGAGATGTTGAACACTCAGGCATTAAAAAGGCTTCACAAAATTCTTCAAAACTAGACTAAGATACTCTCTACCATATACAGAGGTTTCTCTGCTCTGTTCACTTACACCATCAGGAATAATATTTCCTGTTATTGTATCTCTTCTTCAACAAAATAATTAGCCTATGCTGCCTCCAAGGATGACACTCATGTGAGTCCTTCCCATGCCTTACCATTGGAAGCCTTAGCAATATACATACAATATTTTAAAGATCTGGACTGAGTCAGGCATGGTGGCACACACTTGTAATCCCAGCACTTGGGAGGCTGAGGCAGAAGGATGAACACGAGTTTGAGGCCAGTGTGGACTACATAGTGAGTTCAAAGCCACTCTGAACTGCATAACCAGACCCCATTTTAAAACAGATCTGGATTGAGAATAGTGTTATACTTGTGAGTCAATCATAATCCTCCTTATTTTGCTTCTTTAAAATTTTTAATTTTGGTTTTTGGAAAGCTATAAATGGAAGACCGAAGTAGATATAACAAATAGGATGAAGCAAAGGAAAATATTAATATGACATGCATTTTTAAAAGTGTTACCCTAAACCAAAGGAAAAAAGGAGGGTAGCCAAGTGATTACCACTCACTTTTATAAGAAAACTTTTAACTGGTGAACTCTCCAAAACTAGTTCAATTCTTTACAAAAATTCTTTAGAACATGAGTACATTCATTTTCTTGTGTGTGTGTGTGTGTGTGTGTGTGTGTGTGTGTGTTACTAGAGACCAAACCCAGGGCTTTCATACTGAGCTACAATTCCAGTCCTTTTTTTTTTTTATTTTGAGACAGGGGGCTCACTGAGTCACTAAGTTGACCACACTGGACCTGAACTTGTGATCCTCCTGCCTTGGCCTCCCAGAGCTCATTCATTTAAAATAGACATCTTAGACTATGAGACCACCAGAGTTTCACAAATGCAACAAGAAGGTTTCCTCACCTTAATTAGCACCTTTCGTAACTCCTCAAAGTAGATAGGAAAATCTGCTTCTACTTGAAGGTCTTCAATAGCGAAAAATGATGCCATTGACTGGATGATATCACCAGCCAGATCAATATCATCAGTATTTATAGTAATCTACCCAGGAAAAATACAGGCAAGTTTAGCATTCTCAAATATGAAATAAAATCAAACGAGATAGAACCTGAATTTCTTAACAGTTGACATAATTGCTAAGCATATATTTATATATAATGATAAATGAGGTAAAGTTTAGCCTTTGGGAAATTACTAATGATATTCATTATTTCTTGCACATAGCTAAAAAGGTCAATCTGTGAGCCTTCCGAACTAAATGACAAAATTATTCAAATAACAGGAATGTTTTTATGCAGTTCAGTAATCTCACCCCTTCCCAAATTATAGGAAACAGTGAAGGGAAGGAAGGAGAAAGGCAGAAACCCCCTTGTAGATCATACGCCAGTGTCTGCAGTAACACTAACAGGCGAAGTGGAAATGTTGGTTTTTAAGATCTTGACCCTGATGTCACCCACTGAATGGTTAAACTGCATGAGAAGACTATGGATACCCATGACAGTAACACTGTTCTCCTTCCCTTTTTTTTTTTCCTCTGATGCTGGGGATGCAACACGGCCTCACACACACTAGGCAAGCACTCTACTACTGGGCTACATCCCCTGCCTGCCCCATGACATTCAACGTTACCTCTCCACTAGATTTTATTTTTATGCAGAGGTGACCACCATTCCGCAAAGATGTGAAACATGCTTGAAATGGTGCATTCTGAATATTAGTGTCTTCTGGCAACAGAAAGTTCTGGTTGAGCCATAGAGCAATCTTAAAAATAACAGAATGAAATAGAACTTCAGTTTTTAATGTACAGTTATTACAGAAGGAAGACTTTTTCCCCTCATTCTATTTTTACTACTTGGTTAAAAAAAAATTTGTACTTCGTCCCACACTAAGAAAACAATAGTCACACTCCTTTTACACCTCTCATACATGTTCTCAAGTAACATTCAGAATTGAATTCTCTGGCCCCACAGCAGGCCTGATTTTACAGTATTTTCTACTAAGACATACTCTCACCATAATGTATAAATGACCATGGTTCAATGCTAATTCTGTTTACAAGATAGCTATTCTTGTGGGTGTGTCCTGGATATCAGTGTCTGCTTAAAACTAATTGATTCTACTTTTAAAAAGTTTTTAAGTGAAATATTCAGGCATACATTCTACAAAGATATTTCCACATGGTAAGTTTCAATGTTAGCAGTAACACAGTGGTTTGTGACCCAGGCTCCATATAAGAACCACTCACGAGGCTGTTTGGAAGGGTCCACCTATGAACCTTCTGATTCCACAGGCCAGGCAGTGGCCCGAGAATCTATGCAATTAAAAAGCCTTACCAGGCCAGGGATATAGCTTGTGGAGAAGGACATTCTTTAGTTATTCTTTTGTGTATTGCCTCAGGCCTGACCAAGTTGTGACTGTTGGGTTCTGGAGGAAGTCTAGCAGAAGTACTGAAAGCCTCCGGGTCAACACTAAATGCTTTGCTGAGATATCCCCTAAGGAATGATAACATGATGGCTAATTAGTCAAGTCTTAATTATTGTCCTTGCTAAATTGGTGGAGATCCTCCCATTTGCACTGATGCTTCTTTTGTTCTTTCTGAATAGTTACTGAAATTGGTAATTGGGGCTGCAGTCCCAGAAGCTGTAAGCCCCCTGAACTCAGAATTTTGCCTCTCTTGGTTTTCTTTTCTTCTTACTTTTATATTCATCTGCGGGTACCTCCTTCTCTGGACCTGCCACCCTGAATAGAATGACAATAGCTCAGCAACACAAGAGCCTGCCTGGCAAGCACAAGGTCCTGAGTTTGATTCCCAGTACCAAAAAAAAAAAAAAAAAGCCTTACCAAGAATACTGCAACCCAGCCAAGGTTAAGGCCACTGGTATTAGTACTTCAGACTTTACAAGGTACTGTCATACCAGTTACATAATCCTCAAGGGTCCTTTTTGAGGGGGGCAACACTATCCTTACCTATAGATAAGAAAATTGAGGCTCATAGTGAAATACCCAAAGATTATTAAGAATCTTAGTTAAGATAGAACTTGAACCCAAAATGTGTTTGCAGCTCCAAGTCCCACTCTCTCTCCATCTTTTTTTCTTCTTTAACAGACAAAGTTTCACTTTGTTGCCCAGGCTGGCCCTGAGCTCCTCGGCTCAATCTGTCCTCCTGCCTCAGCCTCACAAGTAGCTGGGATTACAGGCACATGCCACTGCACCCTGCTTCTCCTCTTTCCATCTTGATGTAGGCTCCTTTTGCAACACTAAGTCAAGACAACCACACGAAGGCCGTAACAAAAGAAAGCAAAGAATTAAATTCCAAATTCACTGGAAATGGAGGGCTGCTCAGATAAATAGTGTGTGCATTTTTAAAAAATAAGATAGGTGAGCAAAAGTACTTAAAGAACAGACCATGTACTCACCCTCTGTGCCCGTTCTGTAATCATAAAGTTAACGTAACTGATGGGCTCGCTCGCAGAGTCTGGCCTGGTCAGCGCATACATGGAGAACCGGGGCAGCTGTCTTGTCAACTCAAATACGTGGAACTGGGTGCTAGGGCCAACCAACGGGACACCAGAGAAGTGTTTGGTATAGTGTCGTTTCAAAACGCAAGGCTCCAAAACTAAAGCCACTACTGGATCATCATCAGTTGATGTTTAAGGGCTTCAATCCCCAAAATACTTGAGGCCTAATATATTATAGAAGTGGGACCTGGGAATTAAACATCACGAGCGCACACATACACATGCAGACACTAGAGCTTTCAAGCACCTGAAGAGGGATGTGGAAACTTTTATTTTCCACAAATGTAGTGGTTTCTCTTTATTAGCTGAGATTATATAAAACCCTACTCTAAAATACAGGTGCACCCCAACTCTTTTAGTCTTAGTGGCCCAAACTGTAAGGTGACAAATCATTCATTAAGCTTGTCTTGGTGGTGCAATGCTGGAGATCAGACCCAGCACCTCGCACATGCTAAGACACGCTCTTCACGGTGCTACACCTCCAGTCCCAATTAAAACATTTTTGTGACTCTGAGGTCATCTGATTAAAACAGAAAATAACCATTTTAAACTTACACATAGGCCCCTGCCCTTTTTCAAAGATTTCAAATCAAGGAAGTAAAAGGTCCTGGGAAACCTTCACTGGAGGGCAGACTCACTAAGTGGTATCGCTGGCCCCACAGACTGCGTGCATACGGGAAAACAAGTGCTTGATGGAAATGAACTCGTAAAGGGTCACCTGCTTCTGTAACCCACAAAGGCTTTCAAGTGCAGATCAACGGGGACATCCTTGGGTGGTACCACTGGGACGCAGATAGAGCTGGAGAGGTTGTGGATGCTGGGATGTACCACGTGGCTTTCACCTGCAAAAATTCCTTCTGCAAAAATCAGTACTGCTCGGATGATGGTGTCTGCAGGGAAGAAGAAAAGGCAGTTCAGTATCTGTTCCCAGGCGGCCCAGGCACCTGAACTCATGCTGTAAATAATGTCTTACCATTTGAAGTGGAAACACACAACTCTGTATGTGCAGCTTGAGTCTCGCTTCCCAGATTGACCGAGAAGATGGTGTGGAGCCTGGTATTGGCTGGTATGACGTCCCTCTGCCCATCAGCCTCATTCGGCAGACCACTCAATTCAGCCTGCAAAACACCCCGCCCTCTTCAACTCATTCACCAAAATGCTGAACTAATGTCCACTTTATTCAGCTCCATAAGAAAAACTCCCCTTCATCGTTTTTCTTTTTTCTTTCGGAAGTATTAGGAATTGAACCCAGGGCCTCAGCTATTCTACCTCTGAGCTACGTACCCAGTGGGGTTTTCTTGTTTTTGTTTTTCATTTTTGAGACAAGAGCTTGCTAGCTTGGCCATAAACTTACAATCCTCCTGCCTCAGCTTCCTGACCAGTACTGGCTCTGTGACGCTTTTCCCACACTGCTGATCTTCCTGGTCAGTCTCAACATTTCAGTTCTATTTCCCCCTCACATTAGGCTTACCTTGGCGTTTTCCTCATAGTTACGGAGTTCCAGCAACAGATTCTGCTTTTTCTGACTCAGCTCTCGGATCAGGTCCTGCTCCATGCTGGTGTCCATGAGGTTTCCCCTCATCTCAGCTGTGCCTGGCAGGTAGCCCCGGACTGAAAAGAGGAAAAATACTCACTCAACTGAAGAACATCCCAAAGATGGTCACACCAACCTTTGGGTCATCCATTACTTGCTTTTAAAAGCCAAAAATCTAAATTCATCCTTCCAACTTAGGTGAGTTTATTGTAACAAGGGAGCCTCATCACAATATCTTGTAGTGAAATTTCCTGGCATCTTGATCCAATGAAATTGAAAATTCGACTTTTCAAGGATTTTTCTCATCCCAATTTACTTTCTCCATCCACGGAGCAGCAGATTAGCTGTACGTGGCCATCCATTCGGTAATCTCCCTCTACCACACCAGCAACTGCCGAAGAAAAGTTGTCTTTAAAGATGACCTCCCCAGTCCGGTCACTTCGCGCATCCACCTGAAAATAAAACAAGAACTTAAAAAGTCACTTCAGCTACAGCGTGAAAACAATGGCACCACCACAAAATTTTTAAATGAAAATCAGCTTTCGAAGTCATGTAGTCTAGTAGTTTTCAAGAGTACTGCGTGAAGCCTATAACTTCTCTGGAAATACCTACGACTGCTGTGGCCAGGAGGACCAAAAGGGGCCTCACTGGCCTTCAAACAATGTTTCCTCTTAAAAGTGGGCCTGCTAAGAAGCAGTTCATACAGTATACACAGCATGGTGCAAAAGGGTGTGGCTCCGAGGCCAAGATGCCTGATCAGAATCCCTCTGTGCCGCGTACTATGGGATCTTGGGTGAGTTTCTTAACCATCCTGTACTTGTTCTCATCTAGGCATCAACAGCGAGAATATCACGGAAATAACAGTCCCTACACCTCCCAGGGCTGTAACAAGGCCTACAAGAGTTACTACATAGAAAGCACTTCCAATAGGACCTAACACAGAGAGATACACAATAAATGTTATTGCCATATAAAATTGTATCTCTTATATGATATGTAAGTATATAAAAAACATTTACAGCTAAAGTCTAAACAATGCCAAATTAGCCCAATCTTCTACCATAAAACATTTTACAATAACCCTCATTTTACAAGAGCCCTCTTCCACATAAAAACTATTCAGTTCTTAGAGAACTCTCAAGTCTTCTCTTCCTAGAAGCTAACACAAATAAATAACTGGCTGATCAGAAGCAAATGTATCTGAAAAATAATGATGAGCTGTCTGTGGTGACACAATCCCAGAACTCAAGCGGCTGAGGCAAGAAGATCACAAATTCAAGGCCAGCCTGACCTATATAGTAAGTTCAAGGGCAGTCTGGACCAAAAAGTGAGACCCGGTCTTAAAAAAATTTTTCATATGCATCTCAGAAGCAACATGAAATTTTCACTTACTTGAAATGATAATTTTGTTCCAAACAAGGACACAGGTATCATCAATAAAAGACTAAAACACTAGCTACAGTAAATCTGGTATGGCATTTCAGTGACAATGCCATTCACTATTTTGTCTTTTTTTTTTTTTTCCTTGCGGGCCCAGGTAGGGCTTGAGAAAAGGTCTCACTATGTAATTCAGGCTAGCTTTGAACTCATGTAGCCCAGCCTGGCCTCAAACTTGTAGCAACCTCCCTGCTATGCCTGCCCACAATGGGGATTACAGGCATGTGCCACCATACCTGAGTACTGTTTTGTCTTTGACATCCTTCTTGGTAAAACTTCGCAACCAAAAAATAATGTAAATCGCAGTCTACCCCCTTGCCTGGAGTATATCACATTCAAATACCCATGTTACGTAAAAAAACATCACCTAAGCCTAGAGATGATGACTACTAAAACCTGTGAAAGAATGCCTGCATCTTACCAAAGGTCTCTAACTCAAGCTGAACTGACTTGCTGCTTTCCAATGAAAGCCTCACCATCTAACAGTTTCTTGCACTGCATTTCCACAATTTGAGCAAACAAAAGGGTTCATTTGCTCACTAAGAAGGAGGATTATGCATTGCTATTTCTGTAGATATTCTGCTGTTTTGCTCACCCTACATGAAAGTTGTCCCGAAGACAAAGATGGGCCTCTAACTTAGCAAGTGACCTACTATGGAGTGAACTGGCTAGTAGCATTTGTTTAGCATCTTTACACCTACCTTCCCAAGCTGCATCTGTGTGTTTTCCATTTCTGTGCTATTCTTGTTAAGTGTAGATAATCAGTTTCCCACTTATATAATTACCGTATAATTTTCTTATCTTTTTTTACACTCAGACATTATATAACAGGAAATCCTCAAAATTTTGAAAGCATTTAACTATAAAAACTCTAGGTCCAGATCATATTTTGAGGTAACTTTTAATGATTTCTCAAGTCTAGTAGTTTTCTAATTCTTAAATCAATTGTAATACTGTCTCCCATAATGTGGTCCCTTGCTCTGGTATGAATGATTATGTCCCAGCAAAGGATGGTAAAATCCTAACCCCAAGGTGACAGTGTAGGAGTCAAGAACCTTTGGGAAGTGGGTAGATCATGAGGGCAGAGCCCTCATGTCGGGGATCAGTACCCTTACAGGAGACCCTGAGAAGCCCCTTACCCCTTTCACCTGTGAAGTCACAGTGAGAAGGTGGCCCGATGAGGAACCAGGCCTTCACCATACCCACAACCTGCCAGCACCTTGACTTTCCAGAGCCATGTAAAGTAAATTTCTGGTGTTTAGAAGCTGCACAGTCTATGGTATTTTGTTATAAAAGCCTGAGTGGACGAAGACACTCATTTTATGAACTTCCAAATACCTTCATAAGCAACTACACAGTCTTCATATATATAGTGGACTGGGGATTCAACCTAGGGCCTCGTTATGCTATGCAAGAGCTCCACCACTGAGCTATATCCTCAACTCCCTTACCATTTTTAATACCCACATCACAAACAGAACTAAGAAGGAACTTAACTTCTTTTTTTTATTCTGGAGACCAAACCTAAGGCCTTCACACTGAGCTGCATACCTAGACCTTTTTATCTGTAATTTTGAGACAGGGATTTGCTAAGCTGTTCAGGCTGGGGTTGGACTTGCCATCCTTATGCTTCAGCCTCTCAGAATACCAGGATGACCAGTGTGTACTACCACACCCAGCTCTAACCTAACAGCTTTCTTTTCTTAACAATTTTATTAGTACACATTTGTGATACACAGTGAATACAATCATGGGAAGTCGTTACATGTATATATCACATCTTAACCATTTTACTTCCCCTTGACCTCCCCTCTCTCCTGTTTCCATTCCCTCCTAGATCCCTTTCCCATCTCCAAAGGTCTAAGTCCCTGTTTCCTATTATCTGTCTTTTACTTTGCTCTTTAGTTATTATGGATTCACGGTACATCCATTTTTCTAAAAATGATTTGAATTTATCCTTTTTATAAAAGAGTAGAACTCCATCATGTATAAATATCATATTTTCTTTATCCATTCATTTATTGATGAACATATAGGCCACTTCCAAGATTGTGCTATTACAAGTTGTGCTGCTAGCCAGGGATAGATATCGTTTAGTGGCACAAGTGCCTGCCTAGCAAGCGCAAGGTCCTAAGTTCAATTCCCGGTACCAAAAAAAAAGAGCTGTGCTGCTATAAACATGGGTATGCAAGCATCACTGTAATACGGTATCTTTAACTCTGTGGAGAAGATACCTTGAAGAGGAACAGCTGGGTCAAACAGAATTTCTATTTTCCTTTTTTTTTTTTTTTTGGTACTGGTACTTGAACTCAGGACCTTGCACTTGCTACGCAGGCACTTGTGCCACTGAGCTCTATCCCCAGCCCTTGGAATTTCTATTTTCTAACACCTTTTTAGAAACTGCTGTTTACATAACATCAAAGGAAGGCTGGAGGTGCTAGCCATAGGCAAAGAAAAAGCAAAAATGACGGAAATTTGCTGCTCCTCTTTAGGCAGTCCAACACTGACAGAGAAGAAGCGAGGGCAAATGGTATCCCTGGAGATCTGGCAGCTACTGAGGAGTTTCTAACGAGACAGTTTTGACTTGTCAAAAGACTATAAGCAGCTCTGGTTTGAGGGGGGAAAAAAAGAAAGCAAAAGAATATTACTTTAAAATTACAGCTGGGAGAGCAACATGCTAGTGTAATTCTTTAATGATCATTTCGGAATCAATATGATTCTCCTCATTAATTCTAAGTTTTCAATTAGTGTTAAAGATTTACTAGGAAGGAGCTAAGACAGTTCACTATTAGGTTATTAAAATTCTTTTTTATTTTTTACTGGTCTATATGTACTATAAGCAATCTGAACGACGGATTTTCACTCAAAGGACAGACTCAAAAGGATCTCTCCCTGGATATTTTATCTCAAACGTGGCTGATTAGGCTAAAAGAACACGCACTCACTCAGGAAGAAATAATCTAGAAAGATTGAGAGAAACGAAAACACAGCAAAGGAACTCAGGTTTGCCTTTCCATGTTACTATTCTCACGCAGCCAACATCACAGTCATTACTTTGAATTATAATGAACTCTGCTATTTAAACCTACCTTCCCATTTGACCAGCCAGTTATCAGTTCACACACTCCATCGGAATTAAGGTCAAAAGCATGAATGCTCATGGCATGATTTTTGGACTGAAAAAGAATTCCCATAATTAGTACAGAAGTCTCTCAATAGTAGAAGCATCAAATCCCTAAATAGGAAAGGCTACACCATACTAACTTTAATTCTCCAGGATCGGGCTGTTTTGTCATAAACTCCAACTGTGCCATTGGAAAGGGCATACCCAAATCGGCTGCCATACATGGGGCATAAAGAGGTGATGATCTGCAAAAGTAATACATACAAACACATCTTTTTGTTAGGGTTTAATTTAATGTGATATATAGCTTTAGAGAATTGCAAACCCTGCTACAATTGTATTAAAAGGAGATGTAAAACCATTTCCAGCCCACTAGTGGGCAATGTATTTCTCTGCCATGTTAACTATTTCAGAGTTGGGTAAGATTTTAAGATTTTCATAAAACTCACAAACTTTGGCATTTTAAATTAAGATTTGGTTTACTAAAAGGAACAATTAATACTTAGATTTTTTTGACCAATTTTGCATGCTTATATATGGTAATCTAAACAACTAATTTGAAGACAACAATATGCAATATAACAACCGTTGGTGAATTCCTACCATCTTGTTTAGTAAAGCTCTGTATCATTTCTAATGTTTTTTCTAAATTTTTTATTCTCTTTAATGGTTTGATCAATCTTGCTTTCTTGCATCTGGTAATCTCAGCAACTTCATTGAAGATAACAATGTGTAATATAACACCACTGTTAATTTCTATCATTTTGTTTTGAAACCCTGTATCATTTTTATTGTTTTTGTTTTGTTTTGTTTTTTTCTATGTTGTTGCTACTTTATTATTGTTTTTATTTAATTCTCTTTAAAATAAAAAATAAATCAAGATAATGAAAGCATGTTCAGAACATTATTTTAGAAGAATGATAATGAAACAGGATTAAGAAGGAAAAATACTGAGTATGTAAGCTCTAGAATATCTACAACAGCAGTTATCATATATACTATTTCAAGTGATTTTAATGATTCTTTCAGTTTCCTTAAATTTTAATAAGAATTATAAGCCAGTATTAACTAACTTTTGAGTGTACATTTTTCTATGACATAATTTATTGTTTCCCAAAGGTAAAAAAATAAAAAAGGAAGAATTATCCTTTCAAAACTGAAAACCCAAACACGTGGATTTGTGTGGTACGTAACAATAGACAGAATGCACATATTATATGGAAATACTTATAGGACTATGGAATTGCCTAATATCCTTAAAAGGATAAAATTTTAGGTATTGAACAAAATTATCCTTTAAAGTTAAAACCAAAGCTTAATAATATCTATGATCCTACAGATCTATTTTCTAATTCTGGCCCTAATACAAGAGATATTAAGAAATACATTGTATAAAGCAGAGAATAGTTATATAATTTCCTTTACACCTACAGCATTTCTACAAAACTACCCACTTCACTTAACTCTGAATACAAAGTGCTGTGCAGGATTCCAGAATTATTTAACGCAAGCATCCTCCTGGCAATACTTAATACTGTTCAACTGCCAAACGTATCAAGATTTTGCTCACTTGAGAAAAGACATCTGAGCTAAGAGCAAAACCAAAATGGCCCTATATATGAACAATTTTATAAGGTGTGTATTTTCATAAATTTAGCCTCATATTCCCCAGGTCCCTTAGTGTTTCCTTACTTTATTCATTTCTTTCTTTTGCAGACTACAAGAGGAACAAGTTCCCTCTAATACCTAACTCTATTTTAGTTCTCCTCACCTTTTCTAGGATTTAGGGGGAAAAAAAGGTATTTCAAAAAATTTACTCTCCTAACATCTAAAATTGACCAAAAATTTTTTTTTAAATCATATTTATTCCCACCAAATGGAAAAAGATTTACTATAAATTAGAATGAAAGGGCTGGGTGTAGTGGTGCCCACCTGTATCGCAGTCCTCGGGAGGCTGAGGCAGAGTCCAAGGCCAGCGAGGCTACATAATGAGTTTTTGTTGTTGTTTTTTTTCCAGTACTGGGAATCGAACTCACGACCTCACGCTTGCCAGGCAAACACTGTGCCGCTGAGCTCAATCCCCAAACCCCTACATAATGAGTTAAAGGCAAGCCTGAACTACATAGCGAGACTCTTTTTTTTTTTTTTTAAATGTGATGTTGGAAAGGAATTTTATTGATCAGGCTTCTTGGTTACAAACAAGTCCATTTAGACTTACATTTTATTTGTTTTTGTGGTGCTGGGGATCGAACCCAGGGCCTTGTGCATGCAAGGCAAGAACTCTGCCACTGAGCCACATCCTCAGCCCCCATAGCAAGACTCTTGTCTTTAAAAAAATTGCAATGAAAGAAATATAATGATTCAGGATACAGCACCTATACCCTACTACAGAGTTGGGTGTTTTCTGGGGTAGGGGTGGAGCCGAAAATCTCTTTAAGAACCTAATCAAAGCTAAAGACCCTCTTTCTGGAAAAGCAGAGAAATTAGAACCCCATATACAGATACACATCTTTACACTACTGCTTCTGTACTCGTTTTTCTCCTTTATTTCTTCTCTATCCACAGCTATCATTTTAAATTAGAATAATTGTGAATATATAAAAAGTACAAAGTAAGATGGGTGTGATGGCGCATACCTATTATCCCAGTACTTGGAAGGCTGAGTCAGGGGGATTGCTAAAGGTTTGAGGCTAGCCTGGCTACATAATGAGTTCAAGACCAACCTGAACTACATAGCAAGACTTTGTCTCAAAAAAGCAATCAAATAAAGAAAAGAGATAAGATAGTACACTAAGTAAAAATCCAATTTTTATTCTAAAACCACCCACCCAGCACTCTCATGTGAGAAGATCCCCCAGCGCTGTCATGCGATATTACATTTGACTGCACCACTCGATCTTGCCCGTATTTATCCCAACTCCAGGGTGGTATTTCTTACCTCTGTTTCTGTCATTTCTGCTACAATCTCATCTTCTTTAAAAACCCGGATATCAAAATCTTCAGATCCAACAAGAAGCTAAACGGGGAGAAATTATGAATATTTAGCTTAATAAGTAAACAGCAAAATTTCCATAAATAAAACAAAAAAATTGCACAATACTTTGCTACTACTACCACTCCAGAGTTCCTATTCTTCAATAATCCAGCGCTCAAGAGGGGCCCTTTAATCGGGAACATTTAGTTTGCTTTTCTTTCTTGGGTACCAGGAATTGAACTCAGGACCTTGCACTTGCCAGGCAGGCGCTGTGCCGCTGAGCTATATCCCTGGCCCGGGGCCCTTTAATTGGAGGATCGATAGATTCAATCAGTGAAGAAAAAGATTTTACTTTGCCACGTGGAGTGCACATCTTGCCAGAATATTTTCTTTCACTGTGCACCTGAAAATGCTCCCTGGCTGAGTAACTTTCCTTGCCTGCAAATGGGAGCCCTACTTTAGACACCAGCGCCCAGAGTCTAGGGGCAAGTTGACACCCAAAGCAGCATTTTGCATGCTCAAGCCCAAAACACTCATTTCCAGAGTCATTATTAGAATTAATTTCGAAAAACTAAAAGATAGTTGCTAAAACTTTTTAGATTCCTAATGAAAAAAACAGGCCAAAATGGAAACAACTTACAAATATGTTTCAAAGCATCAAAAGCAATTTACAAGGTTGTGAATATGACCAAGGTCCTGGAAACTGTTCTGCCTTCTCTCCCCTCTCCCGTCTTTGAGACTCCACGGCCTACTTCTTTGTATTAGACAAACACAAATGATTTCTTGTTCAAAAAAGAGGAGATAGCAGAACTATCTGCTATATTTCACAAATATTTCAGTTGCTGATCAAAAGCAAATGTGGCCAGTTAGGCATCATTCAGGTAACAAAGCTCCAAAATTAGCACGAGAAGCTAATACTCCGCTCAACACTAACACAGCTGAACACACACAGAGGTGTCTCCTTCCCCACGTACCTCTTTCTTCCCATCACCATCAAAGTCACACAAAGCCAAGGAATGAACATTGTCTCCAGTAACCTGGAAATAAAGTCACAAATCAGCTCTTCCATTTCATCCAAATATATCAGCTACAGGAAGAGAGGGATTATACAAGCAGTCAGTGAATTATCTGAATTAATCATATTCTTTTTAATACATGAATTATAAATAATATTCTGTTTTATTGTTTAATATAGACAGTAAATTTTTTTTCTGCTTTTTTTTGTTTGTTTTTTCCAGTACCAGGAATCGAACTCATGACGTTGCGCCTGGCAGGCAGGCGCTGTGCCACTGAGCTAAATCCCCAGCCCTCTAGACAGTAAATTTAAAAGTATCCTAAAGAAAAAAAAATAAAATAATAAATAAAGTATCCTAAAGAAAATTAAAATGACTTAAGACTACCAAAAAGAATGTTCTGTCCATACCGTCCAAAAGAGATCATTTCCTTCATGATCAAAACCCTGTAGAACACAATTTCCACCAATAATTGCAAGAGGAGAGGCTACATCTCCCAGTGTCCCCAGCACAATGGCATTTGCCCCATCTGCTACCTAAGAAGAAAAAGAAACACAATTTCAGACACAATGGCAGGCAGGCACACTGGAGGAAATATGGATCCGCCTTCTCATTTGTATCCTCAACTTCCTGTCGAGATTTGTGAGAAACCACACAGTCTCTTGAGAGGGCAGCCAGGGCTGTCCACCAAGGCCATCACTGTGGCTTCTGCAAGGATGAGAACAGACACATGGTAGACTCAGAGCCCTGGCTCTCACGCTAAACTGATCCAATATGTTGCTATGATTATCTGGGGCTCTCCAAGGCCACCAAGTACTACGCCTCTCACCAAGCACGGTGACACACACCAGTAACCGCAGCACTCGAGAGACTGAGGCAGGAAGATTGCTGTGAGTTCAAGGCCAGCCTGGGCTACATAATGAGTTCAAGGCCAGCCTGAACTGCATAGTGAGACCCATCTCAAAACAAAATTTTTTTTTAAATGTTTGCTTTTAAACACTCAAATTTTATCATTTATTTTAACCATGTGGGGATGGAAATATTTTTAATACTACTACCTAGTTCTCTTACCACTACTCTTTTTAATGTTTAAGTTACTAAAAAGTATAAAGAATAAAACAAATCCTCCTAGGCCTAGCATTCAGAATTAATAAATATTTCAGACTTCTTTAATATATTACACAAGCATAACTTATGTATGGGAGATTCAAGGATAATTTATTATATAGGAATATAATATTTATAATAGCCTTATGAAAAATATAAAGAAAAGAGTGACTATAAAGGAAATGAAGACATCATAAGATATTAAAACTTAAATAACTAGTCAATGAAAACATAAAAGGTAACTAAAGAACTTGGAAAAATAACTGCAATATATGTCAGAAAGTTATTTTGTTATTAAAAGGCAAATAAACAAGAAAAGAATAACCATCCCAGCTCCCCCAGAAAGAAATTCACAAGAACTGCAGCCAAAAAACATGAAAAATGTGCCTTCTCACAATATATAATTTTTCACTTTTCAATAAGCAATGATGAGAAAGAACATTATCCATTGTTGCTCAGGGTGTTATACAATAGGCACTCTCATATTGTGAGGAGGAGGTAGAAAAACAGCAGTTTTTCTAGAGAATAATTTAGCAACATCTGTCAGAAATCTCATCTAAAAATGGTTTTTGACTCAGCAATTGTATTTCTTCTTTTCCTGTATTTCTTTTTGTATTTATGTCCTCTTTAATTTGTCCTGACTCAGCAATTGTAAAGCCAAGGCCTTGTAATATTAATTTTATATATCAAGCTGGCTAGACCCTACCATGCAGATATTTGGTCAAACATTATTCTCACTGTTACTGTGAGGATATTTTGTAGAGGAGATTACATTTAAATCAGCAGACTAAGTAAAGCACATGATCCTCCATAAAGTGAGTGAGCCTCAACATTCAGCTGAAGGACTTCATAGGAGAAAGACCGACCTGCCCCACGGAAGGAGGGATCCCGCCTTCAGGCTTCAGGGTCCACACCAACTTTTTCCCACGTCTCCACCCTGCAGATTTTGGACCTGCCAGCCACCACAATCAGGTAACGCGATTTCTTAACCTACTCCCATTACATATATACATATTTTCTTGGTTCGGTTTCCTTGGAGAACCTTATGAATCCAGTCCTAAACTCCATTTCAGTCCTCAATGAAAATGTAGTAGGATTTTGTGACCTTGAAATAGGTATAAGGATTTCTTAGAAGGATAGGAAAAGCACTGATTATTAAAGAAAATACTGCTCAGCCGGACTTATTAAAAACTGAAGTCTTCTGCTCACCAAGACACCTATCTGTTGGAGTGCATTATGGACTCAGAGAAAATGTTTCTTATACAGAACTTACATCCAGTATATCCAAAGGATATCTACAAATCAGTAAGAAAGTGGGAAACTACCAATGAAAACTAGGTAGAAAGCGTAAGCACACTCAAGAAGCACGAGAAAAAGTGCTATATATCACTGGTCATCAGGAAACTGGAAAATAAAACCACAGTATGATGCCAATTCACATCTACTAAAATGAATCAAATCACAAAGCATGGTGGTACACACCGGTAATATCATCACTCTGGGAGGCTGACACAGAAGGATTGAAAGTTCTAGCCCAGCCGGGAAAACTTAGCAACTTAGCGAGACCCAGTCTTAAGATAAAAAAAATAAAAAAATGTAGCTCAGTGTGAAGGCCCTGGGTTCAATTCCCAGTACCAAGGGGGAAAAAGCTTGGTAATATCAAATGTTCACAAAGAATGTGCAGCAACTGAGACTCTCAACACTGCTGAGATGGTAGGAGTAGCAAACGGTACAACCACTTTAGAAAGCAGTTTGCCAGTGTTTTATAAAGGTAATCATATATCTGTTATACAGCCCAGCAGTTCTACTCCTCAGTGTTTATCCAAGACAAGTTAAAACACATACTTACAAAAAGACTTGTACATAAATGTTTATAGCAATTTTATTCATAATTGCCCCAAACTGAAAGAATTTAAATGTCTATACTACCTGTCTATCACCAATACAATAAACACACTGTGGTATATTCATGCAATAGAATACACTATTTTTGTTACTGAGCAACAAAAAAAAAGAACTATTGCTATATGCAACAACAGGGAAGACTTTCATAGATATTATCCTGAGTGAAAGAAGCCAGATACCAAAGGGTACACTCTGTATGATTCCATTTATATGAAGTTCAAGAACAAGAAAAGCAAATCCAAGCTGTCAAAAATCAGAAAAGTGATAGTCTATAGGGAATCAGACTTGAATGGAATGAGACACGATATTTTCTGAAGTGACAGAACTGTTCTATATTTTAATTGAAGGTGTTGGGTATAGGGCTCAAAACTGACTGAATTAAGCTGGGCATGGTGGCGCATGCCTATAATCCCAGCACTCAGGAGGCTGAGGCAGGTGGATTGTTGTGAGTTCGAGACCAGCCTGGGCTACAAAGTGAGCTCAAGGACAGCCTGAACTGCATAGCGAGACCTTGTCTCGAAAAGACAGAAAAAAACAACTGACTGAATTGTACACTTAAAGTTTGTGCAAAAAAAAAAGGTTTGTGCAACTCACTGTATGTATATTTTACCTCAATGGACCAAAACACCCCACAAAAGGGCATCTGCATATCTAGAAACTTATCCTTGGGAAATAATCAGGAAAGTGGTGGGATATATGCTTATTGAAGTATCAACTATAAAAAGAAACTGAAAAGGACACAAATGTTCAAAATATTGTATTGATGAAACAAATTATTATATATTAACACAATGAAATACTACAGAAACAATAAGAATGATATATAGATACACATTATCTTCATATAAAGATGTTCAGAATATATATAGTAAATGAAAAGGCCACGTGTAATAGCTAGGAAGTGGATTGCCCATTAACTTATAAATGGATAAATAAAATGTGATACACAATGGAATAATAAAAGCTATAAAAAGAAATGAAGTATTGATATATGCTACAACATGAATCAATATGGAAATTTTTATGCTAAGAAAAAGCAGCTAGACCGGACATGGTGATATACACTTGTAATGTCAGCACTTCGGAGGCCAAGGCAAGAGGATCACTGTGAGTTCAAGGGCAAACTGAGAGCTACACAGTGAGTTCAAGATCAGCCTGGACTATACAGTGAAAATCAGTCTCAAAAAAGAAGAAGAAGAAGCAGCCAATCACAAAAGACTACACAGTATCCTAGTATATGATTCTGTATTTATGAAATGTCTAGAATAGATAGAAAGCAGATTGCCTCAGGTGAGAAGGCCAAGAGAAAATGAAGACTGCCTACTATTGTAGCATTTTTTGTTTTGTTTTGTCTTTGGAGGTAATAAAAATGTTTAAAATTGATTGTGGTGGTGGTTACAAAACTTTCTGGTTTCTTTTCTTTCTTTTTTTTTTTTTGAGAGAGGGTCTCACTAGATAGTCCAAGCTGGCCTTGAGCCCACTATGTAGCCCAGGCTAGCCTTGAACTCGTGGCAATCATCCTGCCTCAGCCTCCCAAGTGCTGGGATTACAGGCATATGTCACCACACCTAGCTTAAAAAACTTTCTGAATACACGAAAAACTAATTAATTGTAGTGATAAATAGATGATAAGTTGTATGGTATGCAAATTATATTTAAAAAAAATTATACAGGAAAAATAAGCTAAACAACTACATGTACATAGTATGATCCCATTCGGTAAAAAAAAACTTTTTTATTTGCATATGTATAGTAAAAAATCTGCAAAAATAATTTAAGAATTTAAGAATTTTTTCTTTTTGCTTCCCTATTCTTTTCTATAACAAATATGAATTACTTGGTTAAGAAAGTTGCAATTGCCTGTAGATGGCAGGCTACAGTAAGGGCTTCTTTAAAGTACCTCTAAACTTTAATGCAAGGCCACCCGAAGAACTGCATGCTGGCTTCCCAGCCCTAGCTGAATTCTCAACAGGAGATCCTGACGAAGATGGCATCACACATGAGGTGTGACTGAGGTGTGTGCTTAGAATGTTTAAAAATGTATTACAGTAAAAGACACATTATTATTAATCCCCTCAGAACACTCCCATCCATTCAAACACACTTGTCTCCTCCTTCTTGCCACTTTCGGAAGCAGTTCTGGAAATCCTTTTCATAGGTGTCCTCAGTTTACCTATCATGTACGTCCTGAATCAATTCCAAATGTTTATCCTTCATGGTCATTTTGACTTCAGGAAGAACCAGAAGTCACATGGAGCCAGAACCAGGGAATCAGGTAGATGAAGACACACTACAATGCTTTAAGAGCCTACTTTTCCACTGGATAACATTCAACAACAGTATTCACTGCACTTTTTAATCATGCCTCCTAAAGACACTCACAAAAGAGAACTTCCAGAACTGCTCAGAAAGTAGCAAGAATGATGGGATAAGTGTGTTCAAAGTGAGGGGGAGTACTTAGAGCAGGATTAATGATAGTGTGTCTTTTACTACAAATTTTTTTCAAAATTTAAACATTCACCATATTTTTCAGTCACCCCTTGCATACCTCACAGATAAAGTACAGTGTTATCACGTTATTACAAGCCATGACCAAATAAAAAAGCTCCAATTACATAAAGAAGATGTAAATGACAAATACTCCATGTTGTTTAATTATGTTACAATGGCCACACAGTAAAGCAAACTAAATGGGGGACTTCTTTCAAGCATAAACAAACTAGACGTTAATAAGTAATGACGGGGCTGGGGATTTAGCTCAGCGGCAAAAGCGCCTGCCTGGCATGCGCAAGGTCGGTTCCCGGTACCGGAGAAAAACAAAAAAAAAAAAAAAAAAATAAGTAATGACAATTTTATGGTTGTAATGGAGGTATACTTGCCTCTCTGTAGAACAAATCTGAATTATTGTAGACATCATAAGCCAAAAGATTAGTCTGGGTCCCCACTAAAAGAACATCATGGCCAAGCTCAGGGTTCAGTACTCCTGCAGTCAGGCAGCTGACTGCCTGGTTAATGTTCAGAAGAGAAACGTCAGATTCCAGCGGGCTCTGCGAGACTCTGGGCGCACTGAAATACTGGCTCCGTGTATGAGGATTGTGAATAAAAACCTAAAACAAGAACAGTTAATTGCATTCCCTTAAAATATTAAAAATGACAAATTAATATCATACTTTTTTTTTGACAAAACACAGGTTAAAAACAGATGTCAACATTAACCAGAAGATACTTTAATGCCTTACGAAGCTTAAGACACCCAAAAATAGTTCTGTGCACAGCCAACTTTCAGTCATTACATAGTGTGGAAACCCAGTGATGAAGAAGCAGGTTATGAATAAGATCTAATTGTTGCTCACCAGGGAACCTTACATGCTGTTATGGTTTGTGTCTAGGTGTCCCCACAAAGTCGTATGCAGTCACGGGGTAGGTTTCTAGAGTTTGTGATAGACTCAGGATCCAATGCTGGGATTATGGCAAAGTGGCACATGGCAGCGGGCAACAGTTTATGGCTGAAGAAAACAGCAAAAGCAACAAGAGCAAAAAGGGGAGGATTGAAAGAGCAAGCCTCTTTCCTTCCCTTGTATTGTGTGCAGTCTACGTGCCCCAGGGCACCATGAACTGTTGCCCAACACCATGTGCCACTTTGCCTTGGAGCCAGTTGATTACTGCAATCTCCACAAACTGTGAGCTAAATAAACCCTTCCTTCCCTAAGTTTGGGTGTTGGGTATTTTGTCCCAGCAACAAGAGAAAAGTAACCAAGACACATGCTATCACCTACAGGAAGTCAAAGTACTCCTGCAAACCAACCTCTTCTTTGACCCATAGGAAACTGCTACGAGCTTCAACCATACTACACACCAACATCACAGAAAACAGAGCAGACCTTTCCTTTCATATCTTTGGTCCACTAAATTCACATCTCAATTCCTAACAGCCTAGTAGTTGGTAAATATATTTACAAACTTGAGACATGCCATGCAAATCAAGTTTCTTGAAAACTTTCCATCCTCTATAGTTGTAGGACGAATTAGTCTAAAGACGATAAATTCAACAGTTTCAATTAACATAAATGAATTATCTGAGAGACTAAATAAATCATTCAACTTCCATGGGCTTCACTTGTGAAAAGAAGGTTTGGACTAGAAAATGCATTCTTTTTGTTTGTTTTGGTTGGTTTTGGTTTTTGGAGACAGGTCTTGCTATGTAGTTCAGACTGGCCATCAAACACTCTGAGATCCTCCTGCCTCAGCCTCCCACATGCTAGGATCACAGGTGTGCACCACCCACGTCCAGCTTAGAAAATGTATTAAGAAAGGTGGTACACTACTGCTCCAAAGAAGAATAAACAAGTTTGGGATGGAGAGCTCTTCAATATTAGAATGGCTTGTGGCACCTAAGGGCTACAAAATGAGTACAGAATAAGACATACAGCATACATATATTATTAAAATTTCAATGGGGAATTTGTCTTTATCTAAAAAAGGCTCCATGAAGCCAATATGAAAAAAAGGACAGAGAACACTGGACTAGAGATCCTTTAGGTCCCTTCTATCTGCAAAATTTTGATAATTTTAAATGAGTATAAATCCAAATAGTATGCCAGGCATGGTGGCACATGCCTGTAATCCCAGCATTAGGGAGGCTGAGGCAGGAGGATCATTGTGAGTTCAAGACCACCCTGGGCTACACAGTGAGCTCAAGGCCAGCCTGAACTGTATAGCAAGAGCCTGTCTCAAAACGACAAAAAAAAAAAAAAATTTCCAAATAGTACTAATTTTAAATTATTACCTACACACACTAATCTAGTCAACAAAAATAATTTTCAAAAGAATTGATGAGAAACATGCAGAAAATGTGTACAGCTACTGAAGGCTGCCTTCATGTTCTCATCTGCATGACACTGCACAACATTCTTTCATAAACATGAATTCCACTTAATCCTCGCTCCAACCTGACTTACAGATGAGGCCAGAAGGGCATGGCCCCTTCCAAGGCCTGAAGACTGTGACCAGGATAGAACATAAAACCTCGCACGTCCCAGGCCCCAGCCTCTGACTCCCACATACTTTCTTTCATAACAGTTCTGAACAAAACAATTCTTACAATCTTCTGGAGAAAGAACAAGAGGAGAAACACCTTATGGGCACCACATTCATTGTTACCAGAACGGAAAGACTGTGATTTTTGCCAAGAACAACAGGAATCTCAGGAGTCAGACTCCTCCCTTCTTGGAGTCCCCTGCTGTCCTCTGCTCACAGAAAACAGAATCCCAGAGGAGACCTACCTGTCCCTCCAGGCAAGGGAAAAGCAAAGTTCAGTCACATAACAAATGGAGCACTCCCAGCGCCTATTTTTTAGACTCCTTCTAAATGACTGCCTGTAGCTCACCTAATGTTTGTTCTAGCTGAGGAGGTGCTGCTGACAATGTAAATTCAACTCATCCCCAGCTCCCTGGTGAGGGAAAAAATGTTCCTGGAGCAAAACACTGATGTCATCTTGTAAGAAAACACTTTTCAAAATGTCCTTGTTCAGGCCCAAAGTCAGGGTCCCAGATGAAATGACAACGGTCTGCTTTTAGATATGCAGGCTCCAGAGGTCAAAGAGGAGGCTCTGGCCTTACCTGGAATGTTTCTTTTTAAAGAAGAACATATTTATCTGTTAGATCATGAAAGGTTCTCAATTTTTTTTAAGTCTCAAAAGAAAAGAGTAGGCTAAGCTAGAACCCTGCAGAACTGTTGAACATCTGAACACAAAGTAACCAATTACACAGGACCTTTTCATTTCTTTTTTTTTTTTTCTTGCCATTTTCAGAAACAGTCCCAGAGTCAAGTGTCTGCTCCCCACTCAAGGTCACACTGTGATGTAAGAGCTTCCACAGAGGCTTGACCTGATTCCCCGCCTCTACTCCTACACCCACCTCCCAGCAACCCACTGCAGTGCATCCCCACATCCCAGCCCCAGTCTCTTTATCTAACATGGAAAGCAAATCTCATCGCTCACCGAATTAAAACCCTCAGTGACCTCCCAACACAGGCAGCGTCAGTAAGGTCTTTGCCATGGCCCACATGTGGCTCTACAAGATCCAGCCCTGCTTGCGGCCTGCATCATTCCATCCCAGCCCCAAAGACTCCTTGCGTTTTACACTTGCTGATCTCTGCCTGTAAGGCACTTGTCCCATGTATCTGGAGAGTTTGTCTGCCCATTTCCTCCCCCAACGCCAATTTTTTTGTAGTTGTTGCTTTTTGACAGAGCTTTGCCATGTACTTCAGGCTGGCCTTGAACTCACTATAGAGCCCAGACTGGCCACCAACTCACAGCAATCTTCCTGCCTCAGTCTCCCAATTGCTGGGATTACAGGTGTGTGCCACCATGCTCAGCTTCCTTCAGAATTCTGATCATGGCATCACAGGCCTGTCAAAAACAGCAAGTGCTCATCATCTCCCTTCCCTTAGTCTCTTGGTTTGTTTTCTCCTATTAAGATAGATAGATAATACAGATAGATACATAGATACATAGACACAAAGACAGACTTTTTTTCTGGTAATCATCTGGCTCCCCCTCACAAATATAAGCTCCAAAGGGAGGAAATTTGTCTGTCACATTCACCATTGCAGCTGAAGAGCTAAAAACAATGCCCAGCACATGGTAAGCCCTCAAAATAGAGGCTGAGCTAATAGCAGTGAAATATTTCAGCTCACTGTATACCTGCTGTGCACCTACAGCAGAACAAATATGAATTTCTTTTTGGCATTTGTCAGGGCCACCAACTAACATTATCAGGTACCAGACCCTATGCTAAATAAGTGCTTTACTCCATTATACTACACTTAATGAAAATGAGTCTTACTTCTTGGGTATCCCAAGGCATAGCACATGAAATAATATGGTCCTGAGAACTATAAATCACACAAACACTAGCTATGAAATGCACCGTGGGTTGGAGAACACGCACTGTAATCTCAATTCAACCACTCTCCAGCCGAGTGGCACCAGATACTACTTTGAATCTCTCTGAACTGCTATTTCTAATCAGTAAAGTGAGGATCACAAAAGAAAATAACAACTAATAACTAGTGACCACTTTCAATACGCCAAGTGCTTTACATGTATCATCTAATCCTAACAACCCTAGGGTAGGTACTATTATTAAATATCTTGCCAAAGGTCATGTTTTTGTTTTTGGTTTTTTTTTTTTTTTGGTTTTCCTCCGGTACCGGGAACCGAACTCACGACCTTGCGCTTGCCAGGCAGGCGCTTTTGCCGCTGAGCTAAATCCCCGGTCCCTTGCCAAAGGTCATGAAATTAGACAGGGGAGCCAGGATCACCCACACCTGTGCGATGCTACTGCCCTTGAGATAATTAATGTAATAAGCCTTTGTACCTGTTAAACGCTATTACCCTTGCAGTCTCCGTATTCCTTTGATTTGGGGGCATACTTCCATCAGCACACAAGACCAACGTGTGCAATGACAATATCTTTTTAAAAAAATCTCTATGATCCTTACAGTACAGAAAATACCTGACGTGTACTAAGCACTTAATACTTCGCAAATAAATTCTAGGGGGAAATTTGAATGTATATGGTCAAGGACCAACAGTGCAATGTGAGGGCTGGGGATATAGCTCAGTTATAAGAGGGTTTGCCTAGCATGTGAGAGGCCCTGAGTTCGATGCTGTGCAACACATACACACACACAATTTAATTTAGAGGTGTCTGCAGTCTTTTCTCTGTAAAGGGTGCGAGCGAGTGGAAGGAGTTTCAAGCGACAAGCAGAGGCACAGGGCTGGAATCTGAGGTCGGCTATTAGTGCTAATCTCAGCCAAGAGCCTTTTTTTCTTTATGAAGATTTCTCTTCCTAAGCTGCTTATCTGTCCTGGACTTCAACAATATCCCAAAGTGCCTAACGATAAGAAACCCAACTACTGTACTACAAATACGCACTGATTTTTAAAAAGTAAATGGAAAGAAAGAAAGGAAGAGAGAAAAGAAAGAAGCCAAACTTCTTAGAAAAAGTGTGGGAGGATGAAGCGGTACAAAAATTGCCCGATTGGTTGCCAGGCAACCTGGGCTGGGGCGGAGGCGGGGTGAGGGGCGGGGCCGCGGGAGGTCGCGAGTCCCCAGGGTCCGCGCTGCGTGCGGGTGGGAGCGGTTACCTTGCCCGCTTGGGTGGCGGCCGCCAGGCACGGGTGAGTCCCGTCGTAACGCCCCACGGCCACCATGCGAGGGCTGATTTTGTGGCGCAGTTTCAGGGTGAACACGGGCAGCAGCATGATGGCAGCGGCTCTGGGAAAGACTGGCACCCGGCGCAGGCGGGGCGGAGCCGGCCCCAGTCGCCTGGGTTAAGGGATCGAGGACAAGGTCCGCCTGGCCCCCGCGGCCGAAATAGCGCGGAACAGAGTAACGGGGACTCTCGCCGGGTCTGTCTGCGGCTGCGTGGATCCGTCCGACTCCTTCTGCGGCTGCGCAAGTCTCGCCCGTCTTCCTCTGCGGCTGCGCGTGGCGGTGCTGCATCGTGTGTTTGATCTTGTAGTTCTCTTGGTGTTAGAGTCTGTTTTTTGCTGCTGTAACTTCCCTGCCGGAGATTCAGCTCTACCCTGGGGTCTATGATAGCCTTGCCTGAGCCAGTGTACCCTCACATTTCCTCTTCAAGCAGGGCAATCAAGCTGCACCTCTGCAAACTCCACACACTCTTACCCTCCTCCAGAAAGTTATTAATTCAAGAAATTTTTGCATGCATTCTCTGTCCCTTGCTTTACTGTTACAATGAGGCAAGCCACAGCAGTTACCTGCACTAAGTACTGTATACCACTCTGCTCAAACGGGGGTGGGGGTGGGGAGGTGTGTGTGTGCTTCAAACACTCAGGTTTAAATAGTCTGAGGCAGTGAATGCAGCCTTACTTGGGGAAAAATGGGCTTTATAGATGTAATTAAGTTAAAGAGCTTAAAATAAGATCATAATGGATTAGAACGGGCCCTAAGTCCAATGACAAATGACCTTATAAGAGACAGAAAAAGACAAGACCATCGTCAGAGATTGGAATTATGCTACCAAAAATCAATGCCTGAGGGCAAAAGACCTTGAAAGAAAGAATCCTTTCATAAAACCTTCAGAGAGAGCATAACGCTATGAACATCTTGATCTCAGAATTTGGTTTACAGAACTGTGAGAGAATACTTTTCTGCTGTTGTCAACCATAAATGAGTATTAGGGGCTGGGGATTTAGCTCAGCGGCACAGCGCCTGCCTGGCAAGCATGAGGTTGTGAGTTCGGTTCCCGGTACCGAAAAAAAAAAAAAAAATAATAATAAATGAATAAGGACTGGAGACTTGTAAGACTCTCTGTACATTTTAAATGCACAAAAATTGTGACCATTCAGCAAGTATTTTTTGAGGGCATATAGTGTTTCAGGCACTTTTCTAAACCATAAATAGTAAATAAAAGACAAACTCATGTTCTCCTGGAAGCGACATACTAGTCACAGGAAATAAGCACTAAACCAGAAGCTCATAGTTTTGGTAGAAAGCACTATACAGAAGATCAAGATGATGGAGAGGATTGGAGGGAACAGGATTTTAAATAAGATGGCAGAGAAGAGACTTCACTGAGAAAGTGGCATGCAGACAAGGCTTGGAGAGAAAGGGGGCGGCCAGCCTGGAGGGCTTGTGTTCCAGCAGAGAACACTGGGGTACAAAGGCCCTGACGGCTCATCAGCTCGTTCAAGCTGCTTTCTGGAAACAGATGTTTAGAGGTGAGTGATGAAGCAAACGCTTCTCAGAGGGGACTGATAAGGAACAGTGACAGTGAGAAAACAGAGCCAGAAAACTATACTGTCTGGGAAGGGGAGTGAAGAGAGGATTGCCGGAAAGAGGGAAACAACAACTGGTAGACACTGCACATAAGCCTTTAAAGGTGAATTCTAAAACATTCTTGATATCTGCATTTTGTCCTGACAACCAGTGACCATCCTTGTACAAATGTGCACCTCCTTTCAAACATGTTGGTGTGTGTGTGACTACGTGAAACTTCTTTTGAAGAAAATGTCAAAAAACTAAATTTGAGGACCCTGATGGAGGGAAGACCAGACCTGATCCAGTGACCCCCAGGATCCCTCTGGTAGACCAGGCCTCTGAATTCTCCCAGCCCCTTTCTGTTGCATCCCTACCCCCCATCTGTCGCCTGTCGAGAACCCACAGTCCTGCACCAGCTCTGTGACCAGCTCTGTAATAGACATTGCCTTGGGCCTGTCTTTCTGCCCTTGGCCATCAGAACTTACTTTGTTTCACAAAGTCCCTTCCCTTCAGTCCACAGGCTCTTCTGGCATGAAGTGCTCACTTCACTGAATCCACTGCACTGTGCTAATTGCTGGTCACAGCTTGACAGGCCTCCTCTGCCAGGAGCGGCTTAGAAGAAATACATCTCTAATAGAGATCATTTGGGGCCCTTCATTTTTCTGGCAAACATGTATTAAGGTTCTCCAGTGTTCGAGGACCTAAGGATACAGTGGTGAACAAGAAAGGCAGTGTGTTCCTCTATGCAGTTCACATCCCATAGGGGTAGGGAGCAATAAAACGTGAAAGAAAATAAGGTCTTTTTATCTGGTCATAACGTCACGGTGCCGGGGTTCAGGAAATGCCTCGCAGAGGAAGTGGCATTTGAAATAATTCTATGACTCAAAAGTGCAGCCATTAGGAGCTGTGTCAGAAAGGCATTCCAGATAGAGGGAACAGCAATGGCAAAGGCCTAGGGTGAACATATTTGAAGATTAGAAGAAAACAGAAAAGTCTGCCAGGGCCAGATTACCTAGTGCTTGTGAGCCACACCAATAAGCTTGGGTTTTACTGTTTAGTAAGCACACAAGTCTGTGACCTACTGCATTTCTGTATAAGGCTAATCTTGGCTCCCATCTACCTGGCCAGGCTTCACCTACGTTATGTGCTGCCTTGGTGGTCTGCGTCTTGCGGTTACTCTTCCTAACAGGACATTATAGTTAGCAGCAGCACTAACATTTATTGAGCATTTTCTAGGTGCCATTTAAGTACTTTACATGGATCATTTCACCCAATCCCAGTATAGCCCTATGAGGTAGGTACTATTGCTAGCCCATTTTATAGATTGAAAAATTTACCATCATCACCTCCTCTCTCTCTATATGTCTTCACTGGCTCTCTATTTTCTTTTGGGGGGGGGGTACCAGGAATCGAACTCAAAACCTCAAGTTTGCCAGGCAGGCACAGTGCCACAGAGCTATATCCCTGGCCCCTGGCTATTTTCAACCAAAGAAAGTCCAAGGTCTTTAACAGATTACACGAAGACCTCTAAATTTCAACCACCTCTGCAGTCTCTTCCTTTGTTTCTTGCCTCAAATCTGGTCTCTTCTCAGATGCTGTTTCTTGCTCTCTCTGCACATCATGCCTTCTGCCTGGAAAATCCTTCCCCTGACTTCATAACTTTCTTCCATCTTTGGTACCGGGAATTGAACTCAGAACTTTGGACTGGAAGGCATTTATGCTGCTGAGCTATACCCCAGCTTTCCTTCCATCTTTAAAGACTCAGGTTGGACATCACCACTCCAGGAGTCATGTTCGATGGTGTCTGTCACTGCCATTACCACACTTAGGAGGTAGCTGCACTTCCTCTGTGCCGTTATCAACTCTCCAGCCATTGTATTAGTTGCCACATTGACAGTATTTGAGCTTTGGAGGCACAGTTCTAGTAAGTATTGACGAAGCTCCCCGCCCCAATAGAGTACACCCCATCCTCCCTACCAAGCACCAAGCCACGCCAGGGACTTTGAGCTTTCCTCTAAGGAGAAGGCCCAGTCCACCAGCAGTTCCAGAGTTCTCTCCCTCCCGTGACCCACTAGGAATCCCTGGTTCATCAGAGGAGACCCTTGTCATCCTCACAAGCTGGGGCTCCTAAGGACCTAGGACTTTGGGGGAGACAAATTGGGAGCTGGTGGGCTGTAGAGAGGTAGCACCACACAGTGGTGAGCCCATGATCCTCAGTAGTGTGCAGACCTGGTTTCTGTTCCTCCTCTTCAGCTGAGACCTGGGCCCAGTATTTAATTGGAGCACACAGGCACTTAACACCCCCAACTCACTAATCCCACAACCCTGAGAGGGAAACACTGTCATCATGCGTATTTTATTAGAAAGAATACTGAGTCACGGAGGTTCTATTATATAAGCCCAAAATCACAGAGTTGCTAAGTAGTAGAACCAGGATGGCAAAGGCATTCAGGTTCTAGAGCTGGAGCTCCCAACTAAGTGAACTTCTAAATGAGGTCCAGTGTCCTCATCTAGAAAAAAGAAATATTAGCTGTGCCTATAATCCCAGCACGCTGGAGGCTGAGGCAGGAGGCTGAGGTGAGTTTGAGTCCAAGTCAGCAACATAGTGAGACCCTGTCTCAAAACTTTAAAAAAGGGGCTGGGGATGTAGTTCAGTGTGAAGGCCCTGGGTTCACTCCCTAGTATCACAAAAAAAGGAAGGAAGGGAAGAAGGAAGGTGGGGTGGGGAGAGAGACAGACAGAGACAGAAAGTGAACAGTGCTGATTCTGAGGAATATTGTGGGAATTTGATGCAATGCCTGGCACTGAATAAGGGCTCCAATAACTGGTTAATAAATGGCTGTTATTATTATTATTATTTTATTATTACTACGTCTACCTGAAAGAGCAGTCTTTGACTGATTAGGGTGGCAGTGGTAGTAAATTCAGTGTCTTTTTTCTTTTCTGGCGGGTGGCATTGTACCTGGTTTCTTCTCAGCTCTGGGATGGAAGAAGAAGCCCTAGTGGGCTAGGTCAGGATCAAAATTTTACATCCTGACTTTTGGAGAAGGGGAGGGGGCCCGAGGTCCCACCAGCTGCCTCCACTTCCTCTCCTCGTCTTCACCTTGAGTTTACAAAGCAGCCCACTAGAGGGTGTGCAGGTGTAGAAAATAGAGACCCAGGCACCCAAGGACTCCATAGAAGAAGACATGGAGGGAGGGGGACTGGGAGGGCCTGCAGGATGGAGCCCCCAGCAGTGGCCAGGCTTGCTTCTCAGGAGTGGACTGGGGATCGAGGAGGACTCCCAGTCACAGGGCTTCCTTGTGAGGAAGGCCAGCTGGAACGGGGTTTCTGTCTTTTCCTTTATGCACTGTAGTGTTTGCTGTTTTTTACAGCAAGCTTGAAAGGTGGAGGCTGTCTGTGGATAAGTTCAGGCATCTGAGGCCATAACATCTCTCTACTTCTGCTACCCAAAGCCTACCAATAAAAGACCACAGCCTTAAAGTCGCCCATACTCTTTAAGGGAAGTGGCCATCAGGACTCCACCCTGGTCCATGGAGGGACAGGGGCCACCGGAGCAGAGCGAGCTGCTGTGAAGGCATTTTGTCCTGGTTTCCCTCCAGGAGCAACCCTCCTGGACATCCCAGCCCCCTACCTTCCATTGCTGTCTCCCTTTCTGGAACTCCGGGGAGCTGTATAATGTGCCTCGTGTGGGTTATGGGGTAGGGCTGCCCACTCGGTCACTTCTGTCAGCTCATTTCACACAGGTCACAAATGAGGACATGAAGCATTCTGTTCAGACCCATTCAACAGTATGTCACATGTGAAGAAAAAGTCAGCCACCTCTGACCAGTAGATGGGGAAAAGCTAGAATACCTATAAGAATAATAATAGCAAACATTTGTTGAATATTACTAAGTGCCAGGCTGCTAAGTCTTGTATTGTTATCTCACTTAATCCTCAACTCCATGAGGTAGGTAATAGCCCCGTTTTATAAGTGTAGAAACTAATTTCAAATCCAAATTGCTCCTCCCTCACATCGCATGCAACTGGCAGGAGATGCATCAAAGTCCTTGTTGAGGTACTTGTATCTCAGAGACCCATAAGAATCAGGAAGACCTAGTGGAGCCAGAAAAGGGTAAAAGGGCCTCTGACCGCCAGTCCCTTGTGGTAGCAGCTATCCTTGTCTTCGTCCAGGCTTACAGTGGCCTCTTGTTATGGGAGATTCTCTGACACTTCCCAGGGCTCGAATTCCCACAAAAAACACATGTTCCAGTGTACGGCGTCCCATGCCTCTTGAAGAATCATGTGGCCCTCCTCTAAGGCCTCATGCTAAGGCGTCCTCTAAGGCCCAGATCCATGGTGTTAAGATGCTTGTAGCTTAAGTCTGTAAATAATCTTAATAAGAGGTGCTGAAATTAGATTAAATAACAAACACGTTAAAATGGAATTGCAGGGGCTGGGGATTTA